CACTTCGCGTTGGCCATGGCATTCGAGACAAAGACACTGCTCTGAACAGAGTACAGAACAGCAACAATGAAGCGAGCGAAATGTTTTGGTCATTTCTACCACTTGGAGTCTCAGGACTTCAACCAGGCATACGGACACTTTCGCAGTCACTAGGGAATGGTTACGAGCCAAGTCCACTACGTGCTACTAGTGCCCGTAGAGCTTTTGTGTTGTCATCATTAGGACTGCGGCTAACTTGCTCGCTGTGGAATGAAAGGGTGGAAGGAAAAGAAGACTTGGAAAGGGAGGTAAAACAATAAAAGGAAGCGAAATCAAAGAAATAAAAGCCTGATGATAAATCGAGGTTCCTCAGAATTCTCCAATTGGCAACCTCTAGGCCAAGTCTAGAGGAGCGATGGGGAAGCAGCTGAGCCTCGTCACGGACACCGTTTGGCATCTCAGAGGCCTAGCAAAGCAGATGATAAGACTTTCGCAACGAGAGGTGGTCTACGCATGATACTCCCAAGTGCTACTCGTGTTGATCATAGGCTTGTTCATCATTGGAACCAAAGGCGAGAAGGAAACAACGAAAAGAAACAAAACAGAAGAGAAGAGAACAGAGAGGCAAAAAGCCAAGTGAATGATAAAACTTGCGAAGACAAAACAGAGAAGAGAACGCGAACAAGCAAATGCCCAAAGGGTTCTTCAGCGTTGGGCTTCGTCACCAGCGCCACTAGGCGCCTCAGAGGCCTGATAGAATGCCCATACTTTCGCGACAGGTGGTGACCAGCCAAACCTGCCATTGCTACTCGTGTTGATCCATCCTGTTCATCATTGGAACTGAAAGGCGAAAGGGAAACAACGAAAAGAAACAAAACAGAACAGAAAAGAAGAGAAAGCCAAAAGCCAAGTGGGTAGGAAGATAAAACTTGCGAAGAAAAAAAAGAAGCAAACGCGAACAAGCAGATGCCCAAAGGGTTCCTCAGCGTTGGGCCTCGTCACCAGCGCCACTAGGCACTTCAGAGGTCCGATAGGATGCCCACACTTTCGCGGCGGGTGGTGACGAGCCAGACCTGTCATTGCTACTCGCATTGGTGCAGCCTGTTCATCATTGGAACGGGTGTGCTGTGGCGTGTGGAAAGGGAGAAAAGAAGCGGAAGTGTTGATGATTGATTGATTGATTGTGCGAAGGTGAGGATGGGGGAGGAGGAAGACATGGAGGAGAAAAAAGAAGGAAGGGATGAACATACCCAATCGGTTTGACCAAGACCGACTGACAAGAGGAGAGGAAATTGTCCCGTGACTTCACAGTTGTGCGTCGCGCTGCGCGAAATCAAAGAGAGGATTTGTGACTATTCTGCTCCATGTTAGCGACTTGAATATTGTGACTCTGACCTGGGAGAGACAAACCTGTGTGTGTATGTGTGTTACGATCTGATGATGGAGACTCAACCGATCAAACTTGACCGGGGCGCCCCGGTTAGGCGGGGGTATTGACTCGGCGGAGCGGAGATGAGATGGAGGAAGAAAAGCTTAAATGGACGACGAGGACCCGCTTGGTCGACGACGTCTCTTCGTGAGAGTGTGTATTGGTTATAGAAAGGCATTGTGGATGGTGATGGGTTGTTGCGTTGCGTTGAAGGTGTGTGTGTTGGAAGAAGAAAGAAGAAGAGAACGCAAGAAAATATTTTAGAAGAAAGGGAGAATTGAATTTGGGTTTCTGTAGGCGCGGAAAAAATCAGCCCAGTGTTCAAGGCAGAAGGATGGGAGAAGGGGGGGAAGCTGGAGGAAAGAACGGAAAAACTAGAACTGGGAGACGCGACTTGGCCAGCCTTGGGCCCAACGTCTGATTTTGTGTTATTGACGCGACTTGCGCAATTCTGGAGTAGGGTAAAAGAAGACTAGTTAGCAGTGAATGGCAAGAGAGCGCGATGGATGCCTCGAAATTTTGAAGGCTTCGATCGGTGGGCTTGAATGTGACAGAGTGTTATCGGCTCTCGAGTTTCGACTTAGACAGCCGAGAAACGAGTTGGGCAAGGAATGCGGGACTAACCTTTGATGAACAAACAGAAGAGGTTGCTAGTGAAAATGATGTGATGAACCAGATGTTATGGGGAGGATGTTCAAAGGAAGCCCTATCGCTGGATAACGGGCCCTAGAAAGGAAAGACAAGCAGAGGCTTCGGGGGATTGCTACCATCGCGTGATTGATCATGGGCGCGCCGCGAATCCTGGAGCGACTTGCCGTCAAATTGCAGCCCGATTCTCAATCGCGGATGTAAAGCGCTAAAGAGGAGTGTGTAGATGATAGGTGGTTGAAGGATGTAAACCAGAATGAAGGAAGAGGAAGTGTGTTGTGTTGTGGTGTGGTGTGGGAGAGAGAGAGGAGAAGATGGACGATGAAGGAAGAAGAAGGTGGTGGTGGGAGAGGTGTGGGTAAGAAGTAGATGGTAGGTAGAAGAAGTAACCGCCCAAGGTAGCCAGGCTGGGGAAGGGTGGGAAGTGGATGGGAGAGAACAATGGAAGTGGTGGGGGAAAGGAAGAGGGAGGTTGGGAAGGGGAGAGTTTGAAAAGATCGTGGGAGGGAGAAAAGGTCACAGCCCGAGTAGCTTGGTGCCTTGTTTTGCCTTGCCCGCATGACCTGGTCATTGCTTAGGGCAAGCCTCAAGGAAGCCCTCGAGAAGGACCCGGGGAAGGGGGCCAAAGAAGGGAGTAAAAGCGGCCAACGGGGAATTACCATTCGAAGAAGCAAACCCGACTTCAAGCTAAGTGTATGTGTGTTGTTATGGCCAATAGCTGCTAAATAGCCCATTAGCGCTCATTTGAGCACTACTGGGAGAAGACGTAAGATGGAGAGGAGGAGGAGGGAAATGAAGAGGTGAAGGAGAATGATGGTATGGGTTGTGGGAAAGGAAGAGATTTCGAGGAAGTCAAAAGAAGGGGGGCCCTCCTTTTATAGGCTAGGTATGGTGCGAGAACAGAAGAGGTGTGTTGGAGTGTTGGAAAAAGAAAACGGTAGTGGGCAGCGAGCCCGGCGTGGAAGGCGATAGAGGAAGGAAACCAACCCTGGCCCGCGGGGGTTGTCAAGGAGAACAGGGTACCCGGGGCAACGAGAACAGCGAGCGAGTCTGGAGCAGGGCAATGATTTCTGGTACCTCCAGGCGGCCCCAACGTGGGAAATTCAAGTGAACCGACTCTCAATTTTCTACTCTGCTCCTTATAATGTCTTGGTCCGATCTTAGCAGAGACCACTAGCAGGTTTATTCGGTTGACGAACAACATTGATATTCCTCGACGCAGAGCGGCCTAAGACCGGTAAACCCTGCGGAACGCAGATAGGTTGCACCTCTGCGTTCTACGCCTGGTCATGCATATGCTGTTCTCTAGACTAATCGCCCAATTTACTTTGTAGGACGTTGCAACAGAGTTGCTCTAGACCCTTATACGCCGACCACTTGAGGCTACTTTTATAGGTGGGCGCCAATACGACCATCATTTGTTAGCCCGGCAGCTGCTGAACAAAACCCGTCAGCTGATATATAACCGGGGAGGTATTCGAGGCCGACACAGCCGGCTAGAATCAAAAGATGAGGTTTCTACACAAGGTCAACGCCTTGCCCTGCTTGGGAAAAGTCTTGAACTCTTGGCTTCGCAGTAGAAGGCTTGACACCAAGCCCGTAGCAGTAGCCTAACGTTCAGGCTGGACCGTTACCATCAAAGACAACGGCTGCGTGGACACGCATTCCCAGAAACCGTTTAGCCGACGACAGGGCTGTCAAGGTAGAATATGACAAATACAGAACAGCGGGCTACGAAGACAGCGCTTCCGAATGGATGTGATTGATGTTCTGGATTGGACATAATATTAGACACGGAGATCAATCAGTGCAAAGACGTGGCCGAGTGACGGAGAGCAGTTGAACATATATTAACGGGACACGGACGCCCGAACATGTAATTGCAATTTCTCGAGATCTACACCATCGCATACCGTGAGACACAATTGCGATCTAATTATTAATACGAGAATATCGGGGGCATATCTGATAGAAAATATAACGAGACCGACCGAGAAGGCGTTCGCAGAGTTGGAAAGCGTACGCCATGAGTGATGACATGCCCCATAACGGTTAACCGGGTTACCAAGATACAATCAATAGCCTGGACTCGGAGAGTGTCTCAAGTTACTGTCCTTCCGACTAGGGCGATCAGGTGGGAGTAACTCATAGAATAAAGTGCATTTGCAAAAGTATTGTCCGGATCGAGATGGACATGCACTAAGACTGCTGGAGAAGAAGGCAGTATTTACGAGAAATAGGGGAACAAAACAACCTTGATCGCAAAGTATGTGTCAACACTAATAGACCAAGATTTAAATTATGCCAAAGCATCACTATGTTCCCCGCATTACCTAAAGTCGCCTTTCGTCTATACCAAGGAACCTCTGACGTTGAGTAATTATGGGAAAAACTCGAGTAGAACCTGATTCATAAACACGAGTTATTATAATTCCGAGAAACGCAGTTGGGTTCATTCTATTAATGCTTCATAAAGCTTACGCTATAAGCTTCGAGTTAATTGCGGTTCGGCCAGTCCGATGCGGTTTCCCATAATTAATGTATGTCAGGTAACCATAACTAGCCGTAATGTTAATTAGACATCAACACATCGGTACCCAAACTAAACACAAGATGATAGCCTACCTAGATATCCGGCGGTCTCCTCTATTGTGAGACATTGGACATCCAAGTGTGTAACGGGGTACAGAGCAACCCCCACACTAGCCTCGAATCGTGGACCAACCAGTTTCACCTGTACCGCAGTTCCCCGCTTACTGCGTTCTCATATCTCGCTCAACTCTTGATCAACAATTACATACGTCCCACGCCGAGGAACCGTTTTCCATAATTAACATCTTCCAGTTTTTGCTCTTCCTCCCTTCTTCAGCCCCATTCTCAAAAACCCGACCTTTAAACCCCGCTCTAAAACCCCGACTCGAGCAACACCCCAGAACCATCCACCATGAACGAACGCGCCAAAATACCCGTCCTCCCCCCCAGCGCCCACCCAACAACCAGCACCTGGCAAGACCCGCCCGACGCCTCTCTCGCCAACCACCGATCAACACCCGACCTCCCCGCCGAAGTCGACACTATCATCATCGGCAGCGGGATTACGGGGGCGGCTGTGGCTTGGGGGTTGTTACAGGGGGAGTCACCTCTAGATCAAGCTGGGCAGGCTGGGCAGGATAAGGGGGACGGGAAGGCGATTGGGATTCTGATGCTCGAAGCGCGAGAGGCATGTTCAGGTGCCACAGGGCGAAACGGTACGGACATCCCAACTCCTTATCACCCACCCATTCTACCCACCCCATCCATCAAGCACCCATCACTAACAATGACAATAAAAAGGCGGCCACACAAAAGCAGCAACCTACCGCACCTTCACCGACCACTTCCAAACCCACACCCCCGCCATCGCGCGTCAAATCGCCCTTCTCGAACGCGCCAACATCTCTGCCGTGCACGCTTTCGCTCGCGAACACGGCTTCGACGGCCCTAGTAGCGGTCCTAGCGGTCCCACCGGCGGTTGTGACCTCCAGACGTGTGACACTGTCGATGTAGTGTATGACGCGGACGAATGGGAGGAGGCGTTGGAGGGGGTTGCTGCGATGCGGGAGGCTTTTGCTTCTTCATCTGAGGCTGGGGGAGATGGTGATCAGGGGAGTGTGGAAACGCCGGAAAGACATCGGGTGTATACGCGCGAGGAAGCGTTGGCTGCGTTTCCCGTGCATGATGGGGTGTATAATGGGCGGGAGGAGAGGGTGCAGGGCGCGGTGCGGTATGCGGCGGGGTCGTTGTCGGCGTATCAGTTTGGGATTGGGGTGTTGAGGTTGTGTGTGGATAGGGGGTTGAATTTGCAGACTGGGACGATGGTTACGGAGGTGAAGAGGGTTGGTGAGGGAGAGGGTGAAGGGATATGGGAGGTGTATACGCCTCGCGGAGTGGTGAAAGCGAAGAGGGTGGTGCTTGCTACGAATGGGTATACGGCGGCGGTGTGGAAGCGGTTTCAAGGCGTGGTTGTGCCGATGAGAGGGCAGATTACGGCGCAGAGACCTGGGAAGAACATGCCGAATGGGGGGTCGCTTGAGACTACGTACAGTTTCATCTACAAGAACGGGTACGAGTACATGATTACAAGACCGGCAAACTCCAAGTTTGCGGGAGACCTCATTATGGGAGGCGGTTTGGTCCGAATACCGGACGACGGGTTGGCGGAGTTTGGGACGACTGACGATGGGTCGTTGAACGAGGAGATCAGCGAGTACCTCAGGGAGTCGACCGCGAGGTATTTCGGGTCGGACTGGGGCGAGGACCACGCCGACGGCCGGGTCAGAAGCGAGTGGACAGGAATCATGGGCTTCAGTCCCGACGGCTTCCCGTTTGTCGGGGAAGTGCCCGGCGAGCGCGGCTTGTGGACCAGCTGCAGCTTCCAGGGGCATGGCATGGTGCTGTGCTGGATGTGCGCCAAGGCCTTGGTCGCCATGATGGACGGGCGGGACGGGGACGAGCTGCGGGAGTGGTTCCCGGATGTTTTCCGCATCACCGAGGAACGGCTTGCGCTAGAATTTCAGGGTCGACTCGACGCGTGCTCAACGGGGGCAGAGTAACGTTAACCTTGAGGCGTTGACTATGGGCATATTAATAGAATGCCCGGTCGGTTCTAAGAAGCGGTGAACGAAAGAGAGCAAGATCAATCTGAACGCTCTGTTCAAGCCCGACTTTCACTTCGCTACTCCTTACCCACACACAAACACAAACAGGTCTTGGTATTCTTCATGCCAGGTGCTTTTGGGAAGATGCACCGAGCGAGCGGAACGCGGTGGGGCAAGCTGCCGGCGAACCGTCCGGGGTTGCGTCCACCGGTCCTGAGAAATCGCTCACCCACCGCAGCCACGATACCGCGTGCCGTGATCTGAATGGGTGAGCTGTGGTGTTGGCTGCAGGGTGCAAACGCCCGGTGTGTACCCGGCCGCCGTATCCTCTGGTGCTTACGGCAGGGACGGAAACACCAGCCTGGGATTTGATGCATCGTGATGAAAGCATCAGCAGAGTGGGTGTTCGTCAGGAATTCGTCATCCAACCCGGCCGAAAATTGCCGGCCTTCATTCGAGAAGGTGGTATTTCTTCTGACGCTTCCATCTGACTGCAGCCGGCCCGCTCGGATGCCTGTCGCCTGCAGCATGGCCGTGGCAGATTCCTGATATCCCATGCCATTGGGAGTCTGTCAGGCAGGACGGAGTACCAGCTCCGGTACATATGTATACTGGAGATTGGTCGGGACGCCGCGGTGTTAAACGCGGAAAGCCTCTGTGGGCTGCGCAAGAACTGCAGAGACGATCGTGAAGTTGTCAGTTTTGTGAAATCCCGGGCCAAAGACCAAAAAGATGTGAAAAAATAAAAAGCCGGCGGGGAAGTTTGGGGGCCGGCCCCCTACGATTGGTGCTTGGGGTCTACCGACACCCGAACCGGGAAGGCGCCTCCGGGGCGTGGGCCGAAGATTGCCTGGACCCACCGAAGGCCCGGCGAGCTGGGACGCGGTTTCCCTGCCCTCTCATTTTCAGCATCAGCTTGTCAGCGGGGCCTTCCCGGAATAGCTTGGTGCTTGGTTAAGCTCGGGATTCGGGAAGCTAGGACTGAGAGCCCGTACGGAGTAGTTATTGCAGATGAGAAAATTTGAAGTAAAGGGGAACTTGAGGGTCTCCGGAACTTGCTCTTTTCGTTGTCACAACGGCCCGGTTTTCTCAATTCCCCGTCGACCCGAGCTTTCTCCCCCTAGCCCTCCAATCGTTCTGTGGATGCACTGCGCACTGCATCGGGGCCCTCGCTTAGGGAGACAATACTAGATCAATCAATCAAATGCCCGGAATGAAGACTCGCAAGACGCTCAACCTGCAATCTCACTGCTGACCCACCGTCCTGGCGCTCGTTTGTGGACAAGGATGCAACCAGACTGTTGGGACGGGAGACTGAGCGTGTGTCTTCACCGCCATGACCCGAGGACATGGACCACACGCTGTCAGCAGTGAACCACAAACAGGACCAGGGGGTGGTCCACTCTGCCGCTCCCACGCTGGCGGGTCGGCTTTTCTTGTTCCTTCGACGCCCGTGCCGCTTCTTGACGTGCATCGTTACGGTCCACGACATCAAGCATTCTGAGCGTGCCGAGCGGGGATTTCTCCCTGACGGCTAACTAGTTATCTAACGTGAAATGATGCGCAGCCATTTCAAGGACTTCGAAACGAAACAGCCGAGGCATCGGCGAGAGAAACGACCGGGAATCGTGGTCCCTGTCCATGTCTTCCCAAGGATAACAACCACCGGATAACGTAAGGACGAGGAAACAAGGAAAAGAAACACGGAAAAGCTTGTCGGAATGGGGGCGCTCTGGGCACTCGCTTCATCTCGTGATCCTCGCATCCGCTTGCCCCTCCCGTTTCGCTGCAAGGCCCACGGCTTCTCTCCCGGATTGGAACGGCCGGAACCAAGCCAGTGGGCCGCTGGAGCGACGCTTTCACCAATGACCGGCCCGCATCCGGCTCCTCTTCGCTTCCAATGGCATTTCCTGATCTTTTCCCGGGCCACACGTTACCAGATCCTCGGGACCACAGGGTCTCTGGGTTTCCGCTTTCTCACAAAACCTCTCTTCTGTTCTCTCTGTGAACTTGTCCCCCGAGGACGCCACGTAGTCTTCCTCTCTGTTGCCTCAGCCTCCGTTGGACAACAAGATTCTCGGCCCCCTTTTCCTTTCCTCGGCTTTTCCCCAACTCGAGCCTGGCTCATCCTTCGGCTATTTCCTCCCTTTGCCACTCCAAATACCCAGCCGAGATCCAAAACAAAAACGATTGAACCTCTCCACGATGTCCTCCACAAATTCACCACCAGATCCGGACCCGGGGCACTCGGGCTCAACCATTATTGACGTGGCCACCCACTCGGCGCTGGAAGAGGATCTCTGGTCTGTCGCGGAAGCCATGCGGGAAGCCATGCGCCGCAACAGTGGAACGAATAACAAACCGCCGCGCACCACCACAACCATCACATCAGCCTCCCCACCCCAGGAAGGACAGCAGCAACAACAACAACATGAAGAAGAAGAAGGCCCCGTCCTCGCCCGAACCGACCTACCCAAAGACCCTCTACCCTCCATTACCATCTCCTCCGCCGCATCCGCCGGGCTCACCCTCTCCCGCCCAACCACCGCCAACAGCGACCCCTACGCCTCCGGCAGCGAATCCGACGACAAACTTGGCCTCACCGCCGACAACGTCGCGGCCGCCGCAGCCGCAGCCAACGCCGTGGCGGCCTCCTTCCTAGAGCGCGACCGGGCGCTGGAGCGGGAACTGGGGCTCGACTTGTCCGTGGGCTATCCGGCGTCGGTGACGAGTTCGGTGAGGGACCATGAGTTTGAGGGGGGCATGCGGTATCATGCGTATCATTCGGGGCGGTATGCGTTTCCGAATGATGAGACGGAGCAGAATCGGGATGATATGAAACATACGGTTATGTTGATGCTGTGTCGGGGGGCGTATTTTTATTCACCGGTGCGGGAGGTGTTGGAAAAAGGGGGGGAGGTGTTGGATTTGGGTAGGTTTTCTTTTTCTTTTACTTTGGTTTCTTGACTGTTCCTGAAGCGTTTGTTGAGGGCGCGAATGGGGTGTCTGGAGGAAGTTGGGTGGTTGGTTGGGTGAAGAAGCGGTGGACACGGGGAAGCGATAAATCAATCGGGACGCTCAGGTTATTGTGGCCGATTTATGAGCGCGTTTCACGAGCGGTACGGTGGCTGACCTTACTGCTACACAATAGGAACCGGGACAGGAATCTGGGCCATGGAACGTAAGTGGCTTGAATTGTTGTTATCTGAGGTTACACATGTCTCACTTGTGATTCTTTTTCACAACCCGAGGCGCCTTACTTTACGCCCCTACATAATTATCAGGCCATGGAAGCTAACCATCGCAGTGGGCGATATGTACCCCAACGCCACATTTACTGGGATCGACCTGTCCCCGATACAGCCGACCTATGTGCCTGAAAATGTGCACTTTTTCGTCGACGACTTTGAGGAAGAATGGGTCGACCCCGAGGACAAATACGACCTCATTCATATCCGTCAAGCTCTACACTCGGTCAGGGATCCCAAGCGTCTTGTCGAGCGAGCCTTTCGGTTGGGTTTCCCACTCCCCTTTCCTCACCACTGTTTCTTGCGTATGACTTGACTGACATTAGCATCACCAGTCACCTCAAACCCGGCGCCTACTTCGAAGCCCAAGAACTCAACGCCTTCCCCGAAGCCGACGACGGCTCCCTCACCCCCGACACCCCCTACGCCTTCCGCGACTACCTCAAATTCCTCAACGCCGGTCTCCAACAGTTTACCGGCTCGCAAGCCCACGCCGTCGTCAACCTGCCAGAACAGCTCAAAGCCGCCGGCTTCGAAGACGTCTGTGTCACCACGCACAAGTGCCCCATCGGGGTCTGGCCGCGCGATAAGCGGCTGCGGTGCTGCGGCCTGTTTCTGCGCGCGTCGCTGATGGATGGTCTGAAGGGGCTGAGCTGGCGGCCGCTGACGGCGATTGGCTGGACGCCGTTGCAGATTGAGATTTTTCTCGTGGAGGTTAGGAAGGCGATTATGAACCCGGATATTCATGCATATGTTAGGATGCATGTCGTCCGGGGGCGGAAGCCGATGCAGTGAGATATGATGTCCCCCAAAAAAGAGCTTGGAATGAATGGGCAAGGTTGTCAGGCCGAACGAGCCCTTTCAAGCGACTCCAACAGGGGAAAGGAAACCAACACAAACCCGACCGGCATATCGGCATGACATTTTTTACCATCTGCACGACTAAACCGACACGAACAACCCTCCCGCACGTCCAGGGGCGACAGATGGATCTCAACGGCTGGCCACATACCGCCCGGCACACCTACGCAGTCACCTACCCGCGGCCGTCCAACAAAATCCACCCCAAGATCCAAAAGTCAAGGCTAGCTAGCGGCAACTTGTTTCGATCAAGTGACCTCCGGGTTATGAGTCCGGCGCGCTCCCACTGCGCCATGCCGCTTTGTTGCTTGGTATGGTGTTGGTTTTGGTTGGAACTTGGGAGTGGGACATCAGGCTTATATCCTGCCTTTGTTTGGGGGGTGACTCAATTGTGCTATCGGTGGGGGAGGCGGGACAAACAGGAGGTTTTGGGTTTGTTTGTTGCCTGGGTGCCTGGTTACCTATTGCACAACGAACACGGCAATAAGGCGTGGCAACAAGAGGCAATGGACGGTTCTTTTTGGTTGCGACACCACACACGGCACGGTTAACCTCACTGACCAACCGATCATTACCAAGCAGTGTGTACTTGGTAAATACAAAGGAGATACAATCACCACCGGAGCGATCCGACATCATACACAAAACACCAAACACAGACACGACAAGATCAACACAGTTGCAGCATTTCCTTTCTTTAGAACATACACGACATCACGCATGGGCGGAGTTATTGCTGAAACATTTTGCTCTTCTTTTTATTTTGTTTTGTTTAGTTTTCGATATTGTTTTGTTTAGTCTTGGATATACCCTTTGCGAGCGAGGCAAGGAAGATGTCCGATGGAGGTGATGCGATATGGGGAGCATGCAAAATTGAGCGGTATCTGTGGAGGATATACCCATCAACAATCTAGCAGCGCATCTGAGGAGTAGATTTTGAAGGAAGGGGGCTATGGAAAAACCGTGGACCGGCCTTGTATATAGGGATCATCGGTCGTGGCGGGTCTTGGATAGTACATACATAGTAAGGAACTATATTCACTGGTGATATGCCGGACCAGCTACGCTACGGCTTGTAACGTCCGTCATTCATAAATACAGCTCAATAGCTGTCTGATTGTCAGGTTCCGATTTTAATACCGGGGTGCTAGATTCTCGCTAAAATCCTGGCCTGACACTTCACAACAGCACCAAATAGCGATTTACCTGTACATGCATGTATGTACATCCAAACATACCTCATTCTACTCCTTACCCCCCTTCCAATGCACCTTAACACCCCCCCAGCTATGATCCGAATACTCCGCCTGCACCTTCTGACACGTCTTCAACCCCCAGTCCGTCACACCCACCATCAAGCAGCTCTCAAACATAAACGCACAGCTCCCCTCACCAACTTTCGCCGGCTTCAACTCCGCATTCCGCGCCCCCTCATAACTCTCCACGTCCGGCCCATGTCCACTCATCACATTATGCAGACTCGCACCCCCTGGGACAAACCCGCCCTTTCCGCCCTTCTTCGCATCATACCCGCCGCGAATCAGACCCATGAACTCGCTCATGGTGTTGCGATGGTACCACGGCGGGCGGAAGGTATCCTCGCCGACGAGCCAGCGCGGGGGGAAGATGACAAAGTCGGCGACGGCGGTGCCCGGGTGGTCGGAGGGGGCCGAGAGCACGGTGAAGATGCTGGGGTCTGGGTGGTCGAAGGAGATGGAGCCGATGGTGTTGAAGCGGCCGAGGTCGTATTTGTAGGGGTAGTAGTTGCCGTGCCAGGCGACGACGTCGAAGGGAGTGTGTCGTTGGGTGGTGGTGTGAAGGGTGTTGTTGAACTTGCCCGTGATGCGGTATTCGTTCGGGCCGTCAGAGGCGGTGGTGCCGTAGTCGAAATCGTCGAAGTGGGCGACGGGGGCTTGGAAGTCGCGCGCGTTGGCCAGTCCGTTGGAGCCGATGGGGCCGAGCTCGGGGAGAGCGAACCGGCCTTGGAACAGCTCCAACGCGTAGCCCCTGGCGGGTTGTTCCGTGCCATTATCGGCCTTGATCAGCCGCACCTGGTAGCGCACCCCGCGGGGGATCACGCAAATCTCCATGGGCCGCACCAGCAGCCAGCCCATCTCGGTGCGCACGTCGAGAGCGCCCTCCTGAGGAACCACTAGCAGATCGCCATCTGCCGAGTAGAACGCTTCGCGCTCGCCCATCGACTTCCCAGCTGCGTACGAATACATCGCCAGCCCTTGCTTCATGGCCGGGTCCCCTGCGCCCGCGAGGAGGTGCAAACCGGAAACAAAATCATGGGCTCCTCCGCTCTCTGCGCCGCTGCTGCCGCTGTTATCATGATCGAACGGGTCCCAGCGCAGTTGGTTCGGGATGTGATGGAGACGGCGGAAGGGTTCGGGCCCTAAACCTAGGGACTCGTTGGGGGCTTGGGCTGCGGTGAAGGGAGGGTGCGAGCAGGCGGGCAGGATGCGGTAGAGCCAGGACTGCTTGTTCTCATGGCGGGGTGCGGTGAAAGCCGTGCCGGAGAGCTTCTCGGCGTAGAGCCCTAGAGGTGGCTTCTGGGGTGAATTCTGAGCAGTGGGGAGGGCGTTGGGGACGGCTTCGGTTCTGATGGAGGAAAGTTGTCAGTGAGGAAACGAGGAGGATGTAGGGACCAGGTGGGCATACTCGAAGTAGGAGTCGAAGCCGTTTTGGTACTTGTATTTTTCTTCAATGTCAAACTTGGTGACAGGCATCTTCACGGGAGGTGGTTCGTGCCGAGCTAGAAAAAAACAGAGTGGTGGGCTTGTTCGAGAACAAGTCTGGCGAGTGTGTTGTCGGTGGACGAGGCAGAGAGGAAGTGAGGGACTGGAAAACCCGCACCCGTGGGGGAGCGGGATCATAAATCCATCTTCCCAAAGCCGAGGGCCGATTCCTACATGGGGTCACACAATATCCGCCCCGGTTGTGCTGTCATCGACCCTGTAAAGAGCTTGTTGAGTCGATGGAAGCTTCCCTCAAACTTGTTAATTCCGCGCTTGATGGGCCTCAGAACACCGCAGATAGCCGCTGGTAGGCGTTCTTGGCCCACAGTGCCAACACGGCTGCCGCACCCAGAGAAGCTCCAGCATGTCTGTTTGGATGTGGTTGCGGGAACCGATCAATCTCCCAACACTACCAGACGAATCTATTCCACCTTTGGGCCATTGATTTCCCAAAATATCGTTTTCAAATCAATATGAAAGCCTTCAAACGGCTTGCATCTGCTCCGACATCAGGTCTAGCGCACAGTGCAACCCCACATGCACCTTCCCAGACCCATGCTTGCGTGCTTCGACTCCACAACACCGCCCATTGACTTACACCGACTGCACCGTCGATGCATCTCATGAAAACAATTTAGAATTCGAAACGTTTAATGTCAAATGGAGAGGCAACACATCAATTGACGAGGGTTGTACAAACGGGGCGGCGGGCCGGCCCACCCCGACGCCTCGCTAAGTGGCTACTCCCCAGAGCTCTCAAAATGTACAAGACAGCGAACGACACCTGCAGCCACGAGGACGGGAGCTGCCGGTGCATTCGGTCGCAGGATTCCCCTGACCCCCGAGCCCACCGAGCCTAACATGACTTCAGTGGTTGGGGTTTGTGGTTTGCAACAAGAGTTGGGCGAGTCATTCACTACTCGTCACCACCCTTGTTCTTCTTCTTCTTACTGCTGGTCACCGGCGCCGACGGGTTTGTCTGCAGGTGCACGATCAACCGCGTCCATGACTCCTCCTTGTCCCACTCGAACCCGGTGAGGTATGGCTTATCAAGCTCATCATCCGCCTGTCGAGTATGCACGTCAGCAGGATGTTGAGGTGAAAACGACGGCCTGTCAAAAAAACCTACCCTCTTCTTGAATGCCTTGTGGATCGCGTCCAGCGCGTCCTTGATTGTGACTCCTTTGAGGTTCCGTGCTGTTACCTCTAGCCCCAGTGGAAAGTGCAGGTCAATCTTCTTGACAGGTGGTGTTGTGAGCATCTTCTTGAGAATGTCTTTCTCTTCTACCGTTGATGGCGACTTGTTGATCTTCCTGTCAAGGTGTTAATTGTCATTGCAGGTGAGGATGTTACGCCATCTCGCTGTCAACTTACCACCCCGTCCCTTGCGTCTCTTTGGCAAGCTTCAGCTCAATTCCCAGGCCCTCTACGATAGATGACGTCAGTGAGGGCCGAATACATATGGGACACAAACAACATACCCAGATCGTTAATGTTCATTACCCCATTGGCACTAGAGCTCGCCCTACGATGCTTAGGCTCCTTGGGTGGCGGGACTTCCTCAATGCCCTGGACGGCAGAGTCGACCTTGGTGAGTGGTTCGGACATGTTGGTTGGTATGGATTGCTTGTGAAGCAGATGAGATCAAAGATCAAGTTGTTGAGCCAATCCCTACAAGAGTTGAAGGTTAGCACCGAGCCCTTGAAAACAGGCCCGACAAAGATGAGGGATCTTTATCACCTTCTCGAGATTGGACTAGATTGTAGTGTTGTTGTTGTTGTGAAGTGGAAGCTGAATTACTGGTGTACGATGTCGTGGGACAAAGAGACAGTTGAGGGGAAAAGGGGGAGAAGAGAGCTGAGCTCGAGAGGAGGCGGGGTGATCGGTTATAAGGGAGGACAGCGAGCTCCCTTGGAGAACTTGCCTCGCTTGCTTCAAAGGGATAGATGGGCAAGCAGATCGGCTCGTCGTCTGGAACTGCAAGAGCCAATGCAGTCCGTCCCGTCCCCCCTTGGGACTGTTTTCGTCAGACCGGGCGGGGTAACTTGGTCGGGATACTGATCACGTTGCCCGGCTCACGGGATCGCGTGACGAAGTACATCATGATGGCATGGCTTCTGGCAGGCGAACCCTGCCCACACCCGAAACAGGAAAAGGTACCTGGCCCGAGCGTCTCGCAGTGGCGCTAACAGCTAGGGCTCCAGCTGGAATCTGGGGTAAATCTGGGGTACCGGGGTCCGTGGCCCACTTGCCTCAACGGGCGCTGCTGAACCGTTGGAGGGTCGAAAAAGATGCCAATTGACGTCCATGCTGGACAGCAATTGGCGACACCGTGGTGTCCATTTTGCAATTGACCTGGTGGGTTTGTGCGATTTTTGCAGCACGTTGAGTTCTGGGCGGGAACATCGAGTGAACAAAACCGGCTGTTCCGGGAAGGCGCCGCGTTGCACAGCCGGTGGGGCAAAGGTGGGGTTATCATGCTCAGTGACAGCATCTGGATCGACTGAGGTCGACCCCTGTCGAGCAAGAACGACCCTCACCGTCATCCTCGTTCCTGCTCATTCCTTTAGTTGTCGAGGAGGCCTGCAAATACACTCTCCGAAACGAGAATCGAAAGCTGACAAAATGGAGCAACAGATGGAGAAATGAACGATAACAGCAGGTTGACGCCCATCCTATCTCAGGCGCCACAATGCCTCCGATTACCTGGCCTTGGTAGCACGAGACACGCACCACAGCGGCTGTGTAACTCCAATTCAGGAGCGGGGAAGCTCGCCTCAGGAGGTCTATCAGTGGACCTATCAGCGACCCTCGTCCCACTCCGGAACTGTCAATCAGTCCTTCCCGACAGGCACAGGGCCTTCTGTCCCTTTGGAAGAATCGGGCTCCCTCTTAGCTCGGTTCGGCTAATCAACTGCGAGATGACCTGAAGGGGAGATAGGACATCGGGGCCTTAGTTGTGTCCGACGACTCGGCCATGACCTTACCTCGAGAGAGGGTGAATCCTGAGCCGTGGAATCCAGCTTTCCACTGGGCGTAGTTGATGAAGAAGCCATCGGTTGAACCGTCAACATCCTCATTGGAATATCAGCATACGATGTGACAATTGCTAGACGGAGCACTTTGCTCGACAGTGACTCGTCAACACCCCTCATGTCACGAAGAACACCTAGAGTACTGTGATGTCAACCAAGGCCAGACACCCCAAACCTCCGCTGATTAACAATTGGTGGTACAGTAAGCGACCTACGGGACCTAAACTGTAGCCAATGTCTCTGCGTCGCGATTAAGGATCCAGTACACCAACAAACAAAACGAGACCATTCTAGTCACTGACACCCATCAAATCCCTGAACCCCCCTGCTCAAACGGCGGTCCGCCTTCTTGTCCCACAAACGCATCCCATCCACGACACGTCTCCTCCAACGCGTCCCGGTCCCCCTTCCCCAACTTAACATCGCCCGCGCGCTTAACAATCTCCAATGCCAGCCCCTGACTCGCATGCCACGCAAGATGGCAATGTACCAGCCACATGCCCGGGTTGTCCAGCCGGAAAGCAATCGCCAGATAACCGTGGGCGGGGAGCACGGCAGTATCGCGGCGCGGGGGATTCACGGTGTTAAACGCGGCGCTGTTGCCGGCTGGGTCGGTGTCCCAACGCGCGTTGGGGACCTGCGCGAGGATCCAGAAGTCGTGGCCGTGCATGTGTACGGGGTGAGAGACGAAGCCGAGGACGCTAGCGCCGAGGTTTTGGATAATTAGGATGGCCCATTCGTGAGTGATGTTGGGGTTTTGTTTCTGGGGATGTTAGTAAAGTAAGCTCGGGTCAAAGAGAATGGAGGGGGTGCTCACGTCAACGGGGATAATATTGTAGGACGTCGGGAAGATGTCGTCGCCTTCCAGGACACGCTTGAGTGTCGGGTCAGCCCAGTCGATGACCAGACTGCTGCTGTTGATGGTCCACTGGAAAACACCCTCATGCGTCAACCGCATGTTGACGTTCTCGAGCGTCGTACCGCCAATGTTAGTCACATCCATGGGCAGATACAGCACGAGACTCTCCACGGGCTCATCGGCACACGTCCCTGGCAGCGTAACATTGGTGGTGCTCGTTGGGTCCGCCGTGCTGCGGGCATCATACCGCACGATGGCCGTCCCAGAATTCGGATTGTCGTTAGCGACGAGCGCGCAGTCGTCTACCCACATGGCGCGCATCCAGTAGTCGCCCGGTTCCGCGTTGGCCTCGACGACGATGTCGTACCGCTGCGCGGCGCTGATGGACAAGCTGTCGGTTTCGTATGGAACGATGGGCACGAGGTCGTTGGCGATGACTTTGAGTTTGTGCCCGTCGATGCTGAACCGGAACTGGCTGTCCAGCGCGACGTTGGTCAACCGCAGCAAATACTTCTTCCCAGGCTCAAACACCAACTCGAACTTCTTCCCTCCCCCCACACAATTCACATCCCCTTTTCCACCCCCTTTCCCATTCCCATAAACCGCACAATCAAACGTATTCATCCCATTCACCAACAAATTACTCATCGAATGCGTCATCCCAAACTTCGGCTTCCCATCCCACGCCGCAAAAACCGGCTTATGCGACCAATCCTGCACAAACAACACCCCCAAATCCTCATCATACGCCGCCGACGCCGGTCCATGCAACACCATCGGCCCAAACAACCCCTCCGAATACTGCAGCGAAAAATGACTATGATACCACGTCGACCCATACTGCCTCACCCGAAACCGATACGTCTGCGTCTCCCCCGGCGCGATCGCGCATTGCGTTACCCCCGGGACACCATCGTGCGCGCCCGTGTGCCATTGGCGGAGGCCGTGCCAGTGGGTTGATGTGCCGTTGGTCGTGAGGGCGTTGGTGACGTGGATGATGAGGGTGTCGCCCCAGTTGGCTTCGATTAGGGGGCCGGGGACGGTGCCGTTGAAGGTGAGACAGCGGCGGCGATAGCCGTCTGGGTTGCAGTCGGCTTCGAGGGCGGTTAGCCAGATTTCGACGGTGTGGTTGGTGTCGGGGGTTGTGTCGTAGTAGTTGGTGTTGATGGAATGGTTGCCCCAACAGTGGCGGGTGGTTGGTGTATTGGGGCAGGGTTGGTCGTTGAAGGGGTTGAAGTCGGAGTCGTTGTTGTCGGCTGGGGATAGCGGGTGCTGGGTGTCTTTGGAGAAACGGGGTTTGTTGTTGTTGTTGTGGTTGTTGTTAGAAGTGCCCTAGACGAGACATGCTGTCGTCGCGAGGAGGAACTGTAAAAGGAGGATGTGCTTCATGTTGGCAATATCGCCGTCAGCGTAGTGGTGAAAGAGGGGATATGAAGCAATTGAGGAGATAGCTTCGAGGTTGAGCTTTAACTTGAGAACTCGTCTCAAAAAGGGGGGAGACATGACGCGACTCATGACAAACATTTCGTCCCAACTTCCTCTGGGAAAGCCACCTCGGGGACGGGCGATGATAGTCATTGGTGTGTGTTCTCGCAATTCCATCCCTTCGTTCGCTGACTTACATCCCAGGCCGTGCGAATTTGGTTGCGAAATTGACGACGTGACAGGGTTCTAGTTGAGCCTGGCTTTATATCGTCCGATTGCACAACGATTGTTTACAAATCGTGGAAAGCGCAAAGAGGTGTCAAGATCTCAGGTCTTCATGTCAAGTACTCGTCTTGGATCCAAATTGATGCGATTATTCTACTACCAATTCTCGACTCTCAATTATTGTTCTTTCGAATGCGCAGTCGGGGGCTGATGGTGGACATGAATCGCACTGTGCGCAACGCCACCTCGAACACGATGTGGCTCTGTTCAATGAAAAGTTCACCCTGGATCCCGGGTTAGCCTGAGAAAAAGCAAACAATGGGGTCACTCTCGTTTCCTTCCTCATTCAATTGTACCTCGAGGAACGCAGTCAATCGCCTTCGACTTGAGTCACAATAGCTGGATTGGAGGACGAGGGCGAGGGAAGGGTTAGGGTTACTGGCTTCTCGCCTTCTCAATTGACTGTCTTGTCTGAGCAAACAAGAGGGCAAGTTTCCCAATTGGGACGTAAAAAGCCATTTTGTACGTTGCGAAAAGCTAAATAGTACCCAGAATGTGTAGTAAACAGGACGAGAACCTGAGGAAATTAAAAGAAGGCAAAACGAGGAAGGCCGTCCGCGAGGAATTGGAGCCAAAATCGACCCTCACTTGCACCAACATCCCTTTTGACCAGCCATGATCACATTCCCAACATCACTCCCATCACCACCTCTAAACCACTACCAAATCTTCCTCCGCATGCATACCATTCTTATTGAACCTCGACTCTCTCTTTTCGGGCGGTATCCCTGTTAGCAGAGGACGGTGAGTGTATTTCATCAGTCAATTTTCAGAGTGAATCGGGGTTAGGGTTAGACACGCGTTAGAAAGCAACCCCCTGAACCCCTTTAAAAAACGAACACTCCCAACCCCCAGCCTCACTCAAAACACACCCCAACCGGCACTTAACTGTGTCACATTATCCTTCCAGCGAAAACGCAGGCTAGTATCTGGCAGGTCTCAACCCAGGACAGCCCGCACCGGGCCGTGGAGGGCATCGTGCGGCCCAATATCCATCTCTATGACCAGCTCCCACGGCCCGGTCTCAACTGCGGCGCGGGAACGGCAACACCCGACTGCATGACACGGTACGGTAGGTACGGTACGCCGTCGGCGCTTGTCGTATGTCAGGTCGGTCATGTTGACAACATGACCTGTGTTTAGAGGTTGGCGCGGTGCTGGGCGAACATGGCTTGGAGAACTGTTTAAGATGGCGGTCTTGGAGGCTGCTCAGAAGGTTGGAGGGGTAAGGAGTACCAGGCATATGTTTGCACCATCAAGAAACACCATTAAGAAACCATCAAGCCAGCAACGGTGGGACTAAGCAACGAGAATTCACCGAGGAAATACTCTGAGAGAATGATAAATACCCTATAAAACATTAGGAATTAAATTAAATCTACCGACCTTACTCCAGCCCGAGTCCATCCAACAGATAACCCTCCAAGAAAAACTACCCACTCGTGTCCTCCACGTAACACATAGACCAAATAAACCTAGGCAAACCCATCTCCCATCATCTCTATCTAGCCAACATAAGTCGTAAATGCCCTACCCTACCACGTAGCATAAGGCGCATTCCCCGTATGAATCCAGTCCTCCAAAGCCCACCCCATATTCTCCACCGTGGGCGCCGTACTCGGCGCTGTCCCTGTTGTTGACGTGCCCATCCCTCCCACGCCCATCTCCATCCCTGTACCCAAACCCATCCCGACCCCGATATCGATCCCGACTGCGACTCCATCCGCCGTAAGACCCTCCATGCCCAGAGGCTGGTCCTGTCCTTGGGCTTCGAGGGAATTCAAGGCTCCCAGGAGGCCCGGGGAGATTTGGTCTTCTGCAGGTTGTTTGTTAGTTCCATACTTAAAGGGGGAAGTAGACCCAGAGAGAGAGAGAGAGTAAGAGAAAGAGAGAGACTTACGCTCCAACGAAGCAGCATCCCCCACAGTCGTCCCATCTGGCTGATACTGCCTCTGCTGCTGCATCTGCTGCATCACCAACAACGGGTCCTGCCTCGCCACATTATTCGACCAAGGCGACGACCCACTCCCCATAGCTGAGGTAGGATCGCTCCCGACGGGTGCCCCAAACGCCATGCCCTGCTGCTGGCTCGCCGGCGGGCCTTGCGGTGGCTGCGGCGGATACATCCCGACTCCATCCTCCATAAACGCTGCCGGCGGGGACGACACAAGCGTAGCACCCTCCACACCGGCCTTAGCCAGCACAAAACTCACCGTCTCTGCCGCCTTCTTCCCCTCCCGTGAACCCCGCGCGGCCGCACCCATCCATATCGTCCGCGTCCGTCGCAGCGCAGCAAGAATCTCCTCTTTCCGTCGGATCTGCTGCCGTTGCTGCTGGTCCGTCTGCGGCCCGCGGTACAGCATGGAACATAGAACCATGGTCGCCGTGAGGAACATGCTGTTCATGATGGACGACACCCGCCACCGCATCATATACAGCTGTCCGCCCGGACGGGTTTCTTCGTCCAGGACATGCTGGATCTCCAGTCCCCTGAGAGCTGCGTCGAGGCAGACATCGCGGGAGTAAGCGTACGGGTCTTCTTCCTGCGAGGATGGTGATTCTACGTGCAAGAAGCGCCGGTGCAGCATGATCTGGCCCTTGGCTGATAGGTGGGCAAGAAACATCCGAGCCATGATGACCTCGGCTCGATCCATCATGCTGGCGGCGATGGGTTTCGGCTGGAGCGGCTCGGGGATGCTTGCGATGGCCTCGGAAAAGATCTTGTCGACCCGCATGATCTCATCATAGCTGCAGGGTTGGCAGGTAGCCGTGATGTCTGAGACGGCGCCGAGCGCGACAAACATGCGTCGCCGCGCAATGACGCCGAGTGCGGGGGTCAACTCCGTCTCCGGGCGTACCGGCGGCAGCTCCGTCATCTCCTCGTTCAGGTCTTCATCCCTGAGGTTGCGCGGCTCCGTGATGTCGTACTTCCAGTCGTTGATCATGCGGGGCATTCCCATCTGGCTCGACACGAGAATGTCCCCCTGCAGCACCGTCGCCCACAGCCGGCGTCGCATCTCCGCCTGGAGCGGCGTCAGGTCTGGGTAGTGGATCGGGTCGCGATGGTACCCCATCCGCATGGCCAAGTTGAGCTCCAAAGCGTACAGAAACCATACATCCTTCCCGGCATCCTTCCCGCGGACGCCAAGCTCGAGATAGATGTAGTTGATGATGGTTTCCAACACGTATGCTCCGGTCTTAGTGTACTCGCCCGCGAGAAGGCACTGCACCGTCTTCTCGCGGTAGATGGCCACCTGGACACTGCGGTGTTCCGGATCGCCGTGCGCCATGTCTGACGCATCCGAGGCTACCACGGCCAGACACATCATGCTAAAGAGCAGGCCGATCCAGATGATGGAGACGCCGCTCGGGTTTTCCCAGAACGCATTATACTGTGATGTTGGTAAGCTATCAAGTCATTCGCTCGAAAACGGAGGGCTAGGGTTATGGAGTCCCTACCTGATTGAGAAATGTTGGCCCATGGACAATCGCTGTCATACGGTCAGCTCTGACGACATCATGGTTGAGCACCGCGGGCTCGAGTACGAGCGGGAGGGGTACTGACAATGAACAATATCCAGGCGGCCGAAGTACCGGGAAATGTAGCGATCCACAGCACTCTTCGGAGGCAGCGCAGCCAAGATCTCAGACCGCGATGTTGGAAGCGGGCACCCGTACAACAGCAGCGCGTGGGTCGACTGGGGCACCGCCAACCGGTCCAAGTCGGTCTCGACCACGTCGTCGAGCTGCCCCTCCACCGCATCACTTCCCTGCTGACTATCCGACGGGGCTGCCAGCTCGTCCTGTTCCTCTCTGTCGAAGTGGTCTTTTAGGTCGGCAATGTTGTCCAGGATGGCGGCCCAGTGGTCCCCGCCGACATAACGCAACTCGGACGGGCTCACCCGCATACTGCCGTATTCGGAGCGGACGTCCAGCGGTTTTGGCGGATCTGCAATCGACAATTTCGATATCGACGGCGCAATTCCTGCTCCAGCTGAACCGGTCAGGCTGGCAAACCGGCTTGCCAGATCCGAAGCCGAGTCCAGAGACCCGGTTTTGGGGTCGGGGACGATAGACTTGACGAGACGTTCCAGCTGTACAATCCTATCGTACATAGCCGCCGGCTTCGGTAAATGGGCCGCGGGTCCGCTGGCTTGGGACTTCTCGGGGTAGGTACACGCCAAACCGCGGGCGGTGCAGCAGGAACATGGATGCTGGCGGTCACAACGCAGCCTTCGACGGACGGTCAGTCCAAGAGGTTACAAGTGCCGGGGCAAACAAAGATGACGTATAGCAAATAGCAAATAACAAATGGATATATAGTCCGAGCAGGTGAAGGAAACGCTCTTACTTGCGGCGTCGACAGAGATTACATGATAGTTGAGGCTTATCCCGACGGCGGTTTGGATTAACAATCCGAGGGGGTTCTGTCAATGGGGGCACGGCCCCAACGTCATTTGGGGGGGTCGGCATTGGGACGTCCTTTTCCGTCTATTAATATCCGGTGTGTTTCCCCTTCCTCCAGTCCTCGTTTCTTCTGTGGGTACGGGAACTGGACGCAACCCGCGAGACCGTTCTGGATCCTGCACGAAAAGGCGGGACCCCAGGTTGTTTGGATCGACGGCGGGCCGGGTCACGACGTGGGAAGACGCTGTGCTACTCTGTAATTAGTCGTGTACTTCGTACAGCATTTCGGGTCTGCGAGACACGAAATGTTCCGCCAAGCGATACACGAGGCGGGACGTGGGGCGATCGGCGAGGTGGTATTGATGAGGGTGGTTGTGACGATGTTGGATTAGAGAAGGAGTGGGGTGCATGGATGAGGGGAAGTTGTTGTTCGCACGGTAATACTGTAATTAACGACCATTGTGTAACCGTACGCCTGGGAAAAGGTCAGCTCGTCGCAATCACCGTCCTCCGCGCCGGTATTTGCTGTGTGCCGGAACGGTATCATACGCCTCACTTCCACACGACAAGTACGGATATTCAACATCGCCTTTTACATTCATTCGCAAGTTGGACCCTAGGGGGTGGGATCACGGCTCCACCGAGTCCATTCCGTGGGGGCTGAAAAGCAAACTACACTGCACTCGGCATGGGAGCGACATGAGACCCCTGTGTGACAGACCAACCCACGGAGGGCCACGGGTTTTAATGTCCGACCCTCCGCTCTCATGCAGCGGTCCGTCCTCCCGCCGTCCCGGTGCCCTGGGTCTGCGATCTCTCCTCCGCGTTCCTCCGTCCCGCTTTGCTGCAGTCAACCAATGATGGGGTCGGATTCGAGGCTGTGAGAAGACAGAGGGTGCAACTAAGTCAACAAGATGAGACACTCCGAAGAGGTACGGCGACACGCAAGCAGACCTTTGGGGGATTCACGGAGGCTCAAGAGTATGCTATGGCGGCATGACGTTCATCCGAGGCTCGGCCTTTGCGTTATTGCCGGAATGCCGGGACGTGTCGCCAGATCCCGTTCGGCATGCGATGGTGGCGGGTATTAGAAGCCCGGCATATTGGGTTCTTAGCGTGTGGCATGGCAGCATGAGTCGGGCAATCATGCGTCTAGGGACAGCGAATCGGACATCGGACGACCAGCTTGAGAACGACAGGCCGGACTAGAAACCTGTCAAAGACGAGCGACAGCAAACGCCCAACGGCGTAAAGCTGGCTGCCCAGGCGATTGACGAGTTCATTGTGCCGAATGAGGATGGAAAGTATGTGCGTACATGGGCGAGCGGTTGCCCAGACTTCACCGGAAATTTTCGGCAGCAGGCCGCTCCTTCCTCCGAAAGGACAACACCTTGGTATCATTTCCTACTTCGGGTGGCGCCCAGGCATTGCAGCTACCCGGATGCCCGATTTGTGCAACTACCCGTGGACCTGCGGGTACTTGGGTCCTTCCTTAGCTATCCGACTTAGGTACCTTAAGTCCTTCCTCGGGTTAGACAACCATTCAAGCCCACAGCCCGGCGATGAACTTAGGCCGTCCTGAAACGCAGGGATTTGAAGCGCTTTCCAATTCTAGTGCAGTTATCCATCCGCGTTAGGGCCCCCATTGATTACCCCGGTAATCGTTAATTACCAATCGATTATAAGACACGATATTTTCGGCATATTGTTCATGGCTAAGCTGTTGTTCTGGGAGCAGCCGGCCCGGAGGAGTGAGAACGAGAAACTGGGAGAATCAAAACTGCCATCATATCACCATCAGCACGCCTTACTCCGTACAGACTCGGTGTTTGCCGCATCTGCCTCAAAAAGTACCCCGAGCTCCAGCACGGCCCGACATCCCAGAATTTGTTTGTCCTTCGCGCCCACGTATCCGGCCGCGGAGGTTCCACACCCAAGGCACCGGTGACCGTTTGACGGCGGAGAACATTCCACCATCCTTGTCAAACGCAAATAACCCATGGTCCTTTTGCTTAGAACTATTGCCATGACGGCACTATTACCGCCACAGACGGGCGCACAACAATCAAATGTTCCGTTCATCATGCTAATTGTAGCTTGTATTCCCATGGCCGCCACGTGCTTAACCTCCGAGGTACATGCCGATACATTTCGGACCCTCCGATGTCCGTATCCCACCCAGAACCAATTAAGATGAGGAGCTGGTCCCGGACGAGTGGACGGAGGAACACACCAAAAGATGAACGGGCAAACGGAAAATAAGACATAAAATCCCATCATGCCCCTCCATAATGCATGTAATTAGGGACCCCCCTCACAAAAGCCGCCCCAACAACCAACACACCTCCTCGACCATAACCCCCAACTCCACCGCTTGTTCCCTCATCGCTCGACGCAAACACCCGTCCTCCTCGAACAGCCATACCCCCCTCCCCTTTCCATCTTCCCCACCATCATCCCATCTACTGTCTCTCATTTTCACAATGTTAGTGCTCCTCCTCTCGTCCACCGCGCCATTACCACCATGACCAACAACCCTCATATCCCACGGTAACCCCACCGCCGACTCAACAGCCTCCAGGTCCCCCAGCAACAACGCAACGGCGATACGCACCCGTGATACTAGCACTAGAGGGTCCCACGTACCGCCCCGGCTGCCGCTGTTGCTGCTACTGCTACTGCAGAAACACCGCAGGTCACCCAGCTCGGCGAAACACTGCCCACAGTAATATGGGTATGGATGGTGAGGGCCTGTTGGGCCGTGCGGTGGTGAGGAAATGTGTACGTGCATGGACTCATGCCCTGTCGGGTCTAGCACCGGATGCTGGATACGGGATAGCTGAGCGTGGAGAAAGGTGAGGATGGTGGTGTAAATGCGGGAGAGGGTGAGATAGCAGTTGAGGGTGGGGAGGGCTAGGTCCAAGGGGAAGAGTGCATGTGGAAAGGGAGGTCTTGCGATGGTGTGAATGGAGAAAAGGATGATGATGAGGACAAGAAAAGAGTGGAGGTTGAGCACAATGATGATGATGATGATGATGATGATGACAAAGAGGAGGAACGAGAAGGGGAAAAAAAAGGTGGTTGCTGGTCCAGTTCCGGGGTGGACTCAGCGATGACGCGGCAGAACCGCTGCGATAGGAAGATGGCATCCCCGATGGGATACCCGTCCAAGTCCTGAGGGGCTTCCGAGAGCTTGAACTGAGAGATACGGTTCTCGTAGAGGGACATCTCCGTAAGGAGGGCAGCGAGTTTGGCGGCAAGCCCAGGGTTGGTGCGTGAAGAGCGAGGATCGGAGATGGGGTTGATGTCCACTGCGGTCAAATCCAGTTCGTCCACGGGAAACATCGGAGTTGGGAGATTCGGAGTTGGAACGGCAGAGAAGAAGCCGAGGCCCGACTGGTTGATAACCGCGTCGTATTGGATGCTAGGCTCGTTGTAATAGGGGCGAGTAGCGTCCATGCTGATACTCTCGTTCGCAGTATTAAGCGGGGTGTTGTACTCGGACTTTAAGACACCGTTGGGGGGGACGGCGTGCTGGTCGCGCACATGGTTCTTGTCATCGATCAACTCGTCGAGACCATCGCCGTCGTGGTCTGCGTTCCATAACTCCTGAAAGTCCTGGTCCGGGAACGGTACTATGGAGTCCTCAACGACACCCCCAGTATGGCCCAATTGAGCCATGCCTAGCGATAATACCGGAGGAACTGAGGCGTCTTGCGTTAAGCTCGACTCGTGGCTTTCGTAAGGAGTCTCGGAATGCACGGTTGGTTTCGGTACATCGTCATCCGTAACCACAGCCATGTCGTGTAGCGTGAAGGTGGTTGTCCCAGGAGACCAATCCTGCTTATGCTGCTTCTTCTTTTGTCGAGTGGCCGAATGCCGGGTTCCATTTACACCATAATGACTGCCACTTTCGGTGTTTCCGGGAGTAGGGGTACGCCCATAGCTCGAGCGACGGCTAAATATGCATGCCTCTGGTTGCTTCATCCGTACACAGCGCTGGCATGGCCCGGCGGAGGGGTACGGGAATGAAACACATTTTAGTTTCTGGGACCGGCATCGGTCGCAGGATGCCCGAAGGCGCGCGGAGTCCGTTTTGTTGGTTCTGCGGCGCATTGTTGATTTTGATTTGGGTTGAGGTAGGCCTTGAAACGGCGGGGGAGTAGATGCGAACCAACACGGTACTGTTGGCATGGTAACTTGGTTTCCGTGGATCTGGTAGTCCATTTTGAAGCGGGAAGGCCAAAAAGAGGGCAAGCAAGACGCAAAAATGTCAAATTTCCCATAGGCAAACGGTGAGGTACAGACCGCCGCTTTCAATGTAATTAGCGACCGGTATTATAATTACAACACTTCGAAGTCGGACATAGTTACAACTCGAACTTTATTCCCACGCATCAAAGTTCTCACTACGATCAGCTCCTCATACCCTCTCGTAAGTCGATGGCCTTTTCTGCTAACGCCTTTGCTGCTAAACAGGTTAGTGGGTGGTCGACTGGACTGCTCCTGGGGGATAACAAAGTGAGTTCGGTGGTGTTGAGAATTTGACGTCGCATTGCATAGCTCCTGCACCGCATTCTCACCCTCTGGCTTCCCAAACCACCCTGGCCAGCTGAGATAGAGATCTCACACCCACACCAAATCGATCGCTAAATTTGCCTGTGGCGGGGAAGAATCGCGCTGCGAAACCAATAAAGTTAGAATCTGGCGTTTCTGCGCCTCGATTCGAGCACGCCAGTTCCACTTTTGCGGCTACCTGCATGTGATGGGACCTCTGACGGACTTGAGAAGCCTCCGAGTTTATGTCAAGCTGCGGGTTCAAGAATTGGTGCTTCTAGCTTGCGGCTATGACGAGCGTACCTGGGCTTAATCGGGCAACAGGAAACCGCTACGGGTGCCTGCAGGTTGTTCTGCTGTAATACGCCTTTTCGGTACCACAACCTGCCGAGGAATTTCAACGCTCGTTGCATGCTGGAGAAATCCATGAAAATGGCCTCGGTCGTATTACTCGAGCTTGCAGAGACGAATCTGAGGGTTAAACCCGTAACACCCGCCAAACACGGCCTCAACAAGCATAAATGGAGCCAAACGCTCAAATTACAGGAACCTGTACAGTTGATGGCCTCCCAACGAGAGGGAGGAGCGACGTGAACTCTATCCCCGGCCAGAGGGCGGAGACACCATGACCGGCCTCACTCTGCAGGGATCGATCGAGCCGGGAAGTCTCCGTATGGCTCAACAGATTTGTGGCTGCAGCGGGGCTAAAACATGAAATCACGCATCGTCCCATGGCCTTAGATCTGGAACCTGGAGCCGAATGAATTGAGGGAAGTGGCGAAGGCAGGGAGCCCAATTCAAGAGGTCGATAGGCCCGAGGAATTTCCGATGTTCTCCCCAGGCCTAAACTCTGCGGGCCATGCTCTTAAGATTCCACAAAAGAACCCACGCGGGTTACCCAGACGAGGCTTCCCGAAGTTGGTAGGTCTGGGGAAACCTTTTCCCCATGAGGGAAGTCCCATCCTAGCAATTAGTGCTTTAAAGCTAAGTAATGGTTGAAGTGGGTTGACCAGATAATCAATCCTTCCTCCTAGCATTAGAGGAAAACAGTATCACAACTAACCCCGCGTCTATTACATTCCAAATTCAGACATATTCTCGCCCACCCTCCACGTACGGGACCGATTGCCCGTGTGTCCCCGAAGAACATATCGACCCGGCCGGATTTGAACACCTCCATGGCGCCCACCTTGCCTTTCGAGCCCAATACTCCCCCCGGCCCCCAATTATTCCATCCCACATTTCTGATACATCACCCAAATAGCATCTATCATGCAACAACCCCACCACCAAGGTAACGCCACACACCGCGCGGAATTCGATCCCGATGCAAGCCTACAGACTCGTCACCTACATTTCTCTATCGTGCTACGGTCCGCTGCGAATCTAGACGGACGGTCCCACAGCACCCTCCATGCAGGAGGGCTAGTTACTACTGTAGGTAGGTACGTATCTTCGGTCGGTATGTAACCGTGCGTTGCCATGATAGGAACTTTTGCGCGACGTTTTGGGGACCCGGAGAATTGGAGAGGATGACACTAACTAGTTTGTCACGCTGGCTTTTCTAATGATCAATTCCGGGGTTGTGGTACATGACGTGGGGGGACTGTGGGTATTAAACATGACATGCAGGTCAAAGGAATGCCCATACACATGAGGTTGTTCGGAGCCTGCTCAGATTCCTTCTATCACGCCAAATCTGAGAGCAGCCTTTGCATGGCTTGGTACGAACCCCACACCGAGAGTACAGCTGAGGGTTCTCGAGAAGATGCTGGAAACGTACTTTAGCAGCATCATGGCATTTGGAACGCCCCCACAAGATACACCTATACGAACGGAAGAATGATCGTTTCCTCGCGGTCAAATTTCAAAAAGAAAATGACCCAGGGCACCCATCATCAGCCTTGACTTAGGCACCTGCCTAGGCAGTGGTATAGAGGGGGTCAAGCGCCACCAAGGCGGGACTAAGCCCCAGGACCAAGCCCCAGAATGTCGAGACATCCAAGGCAAATCCATACCGATCCCTCAAAACAACCACCGATCCGGAAGATTAAGCCGGTATTGGAGGGAGAAATCAACTATCATACTCGGAGATTTAATCCGCAACAGCCGGATAAGGCAACATCACACCCGAAAATCCGACATGACATGCTAGGGAGGCCTATTCTACAACGCAAATATGACCGTCGGTGCCCAGTACACGTGCAGACCGCGTTAGGTTCCGCCACCTCTCCCTCGGGCAATGTTAGAATGGCTGCTCACAAGTAAGCGCGCATGTCAACGGTCCTATGGCCGCCTAATGATACTTGATGCTCAGATTCCTAAATATCTCCGTAGTCTTCTAACTAGAAGGCATGGGGATTTGAAAATCCACAGGACGTTCAAAACGTTCTGCGGGTAGATTGGGGCATGGGGAATCAGGCAGAGAAAAAAAATACTCCCGGAAAAACTCACCAAATCTCTAAAGCGTGGTGAAAAATGCCGCCAGAAATCAGCCACACTACCGAAGGTAATGTAGGTAGTAAATCGCTTCTCTTGCCAAAACCAGATGGGTTATCACAACTCTTAATCATCACAGAATATCTCCCAGGCAGCCCACATTGACGCGTTTCTCCCCATGCCGCCTCATTTTTCAGGAAGTGAAACACACACACAACATTTCGTTGCTGTGAAGGTGGGAGTGCTCCCGGTCACGCAAGGGTGGGCGGGCCATTCCTCAACCCCGGATTAACTTCCCAGCCAACCACGGCATTCCAGCAGTCCGAAAATGGAAAGAAGGGGAAAGTTTATGTTGCATCCATCTTGTGGGCACTATGAACGCGGTGATGTGGAGCCTGGATTAGCGTGACAAGTGTGAACAACGTGGAATGGGCTAGTGCTGGGTGGAGCCGGATTAACTCGTAATGAGATGATTAACTACATCGGTATGTACTTGCCTTTCCTGCTTTGTTCTTTTGTGTGTTCATTCCATTCGTTTTCACGCTTCTTTCTTGGTGTTTCTTGAATAGACAGAGGCCAAGTCGTCTAGTGGCTCGGCATTCCGACTTGGCGCACAAAAAGGGCATCTCCGAATGGTGCGGAACCCAGCCCCTGAGTACGCCTAGCGAATTTGATTATTGACATGAAGTAGCAGTGTGTCTGGACATTCTACTGTCGCTCAAGTCGGTACCGATGACGACGCGGATCCCGTCCTAGGGTGCTGACTACCTGTGATTATGACTACAATACCAACAGCAAGCTTTATCACCCTCTTCCGTGATTAACCCGTCCGGATGACACAATAGAACAGACGCCTCTCTAATACCACGCGGGGTAATCATTCGAATGATCATTCCACATCAAAGCAACTCATGGCGCCACATCAATGGCAGAGCGTGGGATGACAATCCCAATGATTGGGCCGATCTCCACAGTGATAACAGGCACGGTGAAGGACGCAGTCAGATACAAAGAACCATGAAGCTTAATCAACTGCAGGGCAAGAACACCGGCGTTTATCGGTCCCGGAATCTTGACTATTTCTTATTCCCTAGGATTGGGGTCGCTTGGGTTGCCTACCTAGGTAGCTAGGTAGCTAGGTAGCTAAGCTTTCATTACCGGCCTGGGGAGTCCATGGATGTGGGTGACAAGGCTCTGCTCTGAGTGCCATCTCTTCTTTTGACTTTAGCCTAAGGCGACGATCTTTCCTAACACCTCATCACCACAGCTGAGGATTGAAAGAAAGAACCCCGCCATTACTGCAGGTGCTGGGTGATTTCTCACAAACTTGAACTAAACACACACCATCTTCCTGGTGCATTGCATTGCACGCGATAAATTGAGTTATCGTTGACAAGATGCCGTACCCGAAGAGCGCTATCGTGGTAAGTCCTAGTCTTCGTTTTTCTCCTGATTCCTACGACTCGCTGTATATTTCCCAGCTTTCCTAGCTTTCCTGCCTCTCCCCGCTCCCACAACCTTATTCCCACAACCTCAACCGGAAGCCTAACCACCTACCCCCCTTCCCCCTGTGCCCTCAAAACAGATCGGAGGCTCCATCTCCGGCCTCCTCCAAGGCCTCCAACTCAAACGCAACGGCACCACCGTCACCCTCCTCGAGCAAGACCCCGTCAACCACCGCCCCAGCCACGACTCCGGCGTGCAAATCGGTCCCAGCGTAGTCCGGCTCCTCGAGAAATATGACGCCACGGGCCGGCCCGCGGCGGTCCCCGCTCGGTTCTTGAGTGTCGCCTGGCGCAGGGAGAAGTTGAGGGTGCTGGATGTGGTGGCGCCGCGGCAGACGAGTAATTGGGCGACGTTGTATTTGATTTTAAGGGCGAATTTTGATGGGTTGGTTTCGGAGATGGTGCCGAGGGCGCCGGAGGGGAGGAAGGGGGATGGGAAGGTTGTTTATAGAGCTGGGAAGAGGGTTACTGGTCTTAGTTATGAGGGTGGCGGTGGCTGTGGTGAGGTTGGAGCAGAGGATGAGGAGAAGGCTGGGGGCATGATGTATGTGGATTTTGAGGATGTGATGACCGGGGAGAAGGAGAGGATCGGGGCTGAGGTGGTGATTGCGGCCGATGGGGTGCACTCGACGGTGCGCAAGATTATGGGTGCGGGACAGGAGAAGAAGTACTCGGGGTACATTGGCTGGCGCGGGGTGGTGCCGGAGCATATGGTGTCGCCCGAGACGGTCGAGTATTTCTCGAAGCGGCTCAACTTTTCGCTCATGAAGGGGACGTATGCCATCACGTAAGTTTTTCCTACTCTGATCCTAAGAGGGTGGAAAGCAAGACAAACAGAACCAAGACTGACTAACTGCTTGACTGCCTGCCACAGCTACGTAATCCCCACAGAAACCGGCCACGTCACCCCCGGCAACCGCCTCATCAACTGGGTCTGGTACTTCCGCGTGCCCGACAACTCCCCGGCCATGGACGCCATCTTCACCGACATCCACGGCAAACCGCACGCCCACACCGTCTCGCAGGGTCTCATCGACCCCGCACTCTGGGCAGACCAAAAAGCCCGTTTCCTCCCGCTCATGAACCGCCACTTGGCCGAGATCATCACCAAGACCACGCGGCCGTTTGTGTCCAAGGTCGTTGATCGCGATTGCACCGGCGCAGTCCGCAACTCCACCGCAACAGGAACTGGTGGCAATGACAACGATACGAGAGGCAGTTTCTTCAACGGCCACCTAATCCTCGTCGGCGACGCGTACACCGCCTTCCGCCCGCACATGGGCATGGCATCAGAGCAGGCCGGGCGTCACTGCTGGCAGATGGATGCCGTGTGGCGCGGGGAGATGACGCTGGCGGAACGGGACCGGGAGTCGGCGCGGTATGCGAGACGGTTTGTGCTGCTGAATCGGATTATTGGGTTGTTGGGGATGGGGAGTTGGGGGGAGTTGGTGGTTACTGTGGTTGTGTTTGGGGGGTTTTTGGGGGGGTGTGCTTTGGGGGTTTGTTAGGGGCCTAGGTGCCCGTGTATATTAGGATTTGGACTCGGACTCGCACTCGCACTCGGATCGGGCTGGGCAGGGCAGGGCAGGGAACTATCGTGGGTTGCTGTTGGTGGGTCGTTAGAGGGTTGCCTGCAATGGGCTAGATGGACTGCCCTTATCACGATCACTAGGCAGTCTAGGGTAGGTGGATCTCCCAAGAACCAGACAGTGACATAAACCGTGAGGAAACAAAACCCGTCTCAAGGAGGTGACTCAAGTGTGCTGCTCAATCATCCAACCCCATCTACTAACTAACCACCCTACCCACGTCCCTCAAGTATGTACATACAAATATATCAAACAGCCTCCGGAACCCTAAAACACTCCACCCTCACATCGTCCGCTCCCGATCCACCACCCTCGGCTGCGCCAGCACATACATGGTCTGCAACGCCTTGTACCGCCCACCAACCTGGATATTCAACCTCGTATTCTGCCCCCCAGGCCCACCCACCCCGGACTCTTCCAGAAAAAACGCAGACCCATCACTTGCTGTGCCGTAGGGCCAGATGTGTGCTAGGAGGTGATGGTTTTGTTTGGTGCTCTCGCCGTCGTTTTTAGGCTCGGATTCAGGTGGGGTATCACTATCGGCGTCGGCACTGGCATCACCATCACCATTTGTAGAAGACTGGGTAGAAGGGGTATGCTCGACAGTAGGAATGGGCTGCTGTTGCACAAAAATAGGCGCGGCGAACCCCCCTTCGATGACAGCGTTAAAGGCCGGGCCGGCGATGTTGCCACCGGTGATGGGCTCGACCATGCGCTGGCCGCCGCCGAGAAGGGGGATGGGGCCGAGATGGGGGCCGAGGTGGACGGTGGCGCTGAAGAGGTGGTTTGCTACGAGGGCTGTTGTTGGGGTTGTTGCTGGGGGTGCCGTGGTTGCCATTGCGGTGGTGTGATGTTGTAGTGGTGTGGTGTTTTGGGAGGTGATAATGTCTGAAAGGTGGGTTTGAGGTTTGTAAGTTGTAAGCTGAGTCGTGAGATAGGTAAGCTACAAGTGGAGATGGTGGAGCTGTGGGTGTGAACTGAGTCGTGAACTGAGTCGTGAGCTGAGCTGTGAGCTGAGCTGTGAGCTTGAGAGACAAGAGAGCGTGTAGTGGCGTACTTGTAACTGCATGTTCAATCTAGCTACCTTGAGTATGCTGTTACAAAAATAGAGAAAATCCGAACTTCCGGATCCGGACACAAGATAACACTCTCCGACTTTCGAGTCGCAGTCAACGCCTCTCATGCACAAAGCCTCCAAAGGTTCCGAGACATGCCCAAAGGGATTTCGCAGAAAATCCCAATGGGGAAAGTGGGTCATCGCTGACTGCCGAGACCCCCCCGGATCTCTGCCGCTTTCCGAGCTGGTGGGTCTCAGGCCGGTTCCGCAAGGTCTCGATCTGGGTACGGGAACCGGTAAGAAGTTAAATCACAACGAACAATATCACCTGCAAGCCATGGCTTACTAGTGTAGACTAGTCTCTCGACTGAATTTGGCCAGTGACCACTGTGCGAAGGATCGGGATCAGATTGTTTGCTTTTAGCTCATTGTACCACAGTATCCCAGCGCCTAGGTCATTTACGCTAAGTTAGCGCAACTCAGCGCAAGGAAGAACCAAAGAAGAAGCAACCGGCCAGCAGCGTCAAATCACATCCGCGAGCCAGTTTTTGGATTGACACTAACGTTATAAGTGTAGTTTACAATTCGCACGGCGAGCTCTGCAAGCCAAAATGTTTGCCACAAATCCCATCACCATCCTTGAAAAGGAGAAGCTTACGTCAATCTTACTTTTCACTCCGAAGCCTTTCGACTCTCGCGAGTCAGTTTAGTTAGTTTACCCCGTTCTCACAACACCAACCTCTACGCAGTACTCCGTGCTCACGATCCATCCATCCCACCATGCGAACCCACCACCTAACATCGTGGGTGCTCCTAGCAGGCCCAGCCCTCACCACCGCGGGCTGCGGCCCAACCCATCTCCTCCCAACGCGACAAATCTACCAGTTCTCCAAGCCAACCTACCTACAAGCCCTCCACGTGCGCGCCAACGGCGACATGCTCCTCGGCACCGTCTTCCCCAACGCCTCGCTCTACTACCTTTCCGCTCCCCCCATCAATGATCCCGATACGCCGCCGACGGTCACAACCCTAGCCACCTTCGCCGGCATCCCCAGCCCCGACGGCACCACCATCAACGCCATCACCGGCATCGCCGAGACCGAATCGGGTGTCTTTGCCTTAACCGGCGGGGTGCAGCAGAGTTTGGGATTGCAGGCGAATGGCACCCGGGGGGTCTGGCAACTTGACTTGCGCTCTCACCTACAGCCCATCACCAACCCCAACAACCTCAACAACCAACACCCCCTCCAGACCCCCCTCCAGAACCCTTCAGGAGAGTGGAAACCCAAACCCCACCTCCTCCTCCCCATCCCTCACTCCGGCCTCCTCTCCTCCCAGCCCATCCCACAATCCTCCTAATAGCCGATACCTCCCTCGGCCAGATCCTGCGCGTGGACACCCGCGCGCAAACCTGGGAAGTCATACTCTCTGATGCCGATGCTGGGAAGGGGAGTGTGCGTTACCCGCCTTGGGCGAGTTTGCAGTTTGGGGTTAATGGGTTGACTGTCCGCTATGCCCCCTCTGCCGCTGGAGATGGTGAGGGGGAAGTGGGTGAGGATTGGGGGGAATATGGTGAAGGAGAAGGGGGGTTGTGGTTGTATTGGAGTAACTCGTTTTTGGCGACTGTGTATCGGTTGTGGATCACGGCGGATGGGTATCCGGTCGGCGGGGGAAGTGGGAAGACGCGGCGGCCGCTTGCGGAGAAGGTGGCGAGTGTGAGGGCGTTGTTTGTTGATGGGTTGGTTTCTGGGCCTGCACCTGGTTCCTACTCATCCGACTCATCCGAGAGAAGGGGGAAAAGGGAAGTCCTATGGGCAGCGACAAACGTCGACAATACGGTCAGAGCGATTAGCGACCGAGGCGAGGTGACTACCGTGGCTGGCGCGCCGGATGAGATGACGGTTGCTGGGGCCGTGGCGCCGAGGTTTGGGCGGCGGCCGGGGGACGAGCATACGTTGTATGTGGCTACGTCGGGGGGGTTGGTGCTGCCGGTGAATGGGACGGAGTTGGAGGGGGGGAAGGTGGTGGGGATTGATACGAGGGGGTTGTTTAAGTGTTGGGAGGAGTAAGGGAAGTAGTGACAAGTGCAATAGTCAATAATGTTGATAGCGCGTGGGAAGACGGGGGGTTGAGAGAGTATTGTAATCTTGCAAGTTAATTCCAAACACCACACGGCGGTGGCTTATGCTAATGTAAATGCATTGTTAACCGCTGTTAACTTTGAACTCCCCATGCCCTAACTCCAAGAAACCCAATCCAAGAATGCCTGTAATGCTCCGAATATGCAACAAGATACGCCCAATATGCACCCATCCAAACCCATAACCCATGCTATCCCCAAATACCATCATCGTCTAGCGTATGCTCAGCACATCCCAACTCCCGACCACATACCCAACCAACCACTCACTTCTCCCACCCATACCCATCCTCCATCCCCCCCCTCCCAGACCCAACCCCCAAACTCCTCCTCCTCTGATACCCATCCCGATACCCATACTCATACCCCTCATATCCAAAATACCCATCCTTCTGCCCGTACCCACTCCTATAATACCCCCCTCCCCTCACCGGCGAACCCACCGGCGACACAACCGGTGAACCAATCGGCGACCCCATCGGTGAATTCCAAGGTGACATCAACCTCCCATCCCCATCCTCATACCTCCCATCTCCCTTTAGCTCTCGACCACTCCATCGAGACCTCGGCCTCGACCGAAACCGAAACCTAACCCCCAAAACCCCCCTCAACAGCACACCCAACACCAACAACGCCTCAAGCACCAATAGGCCGATCCAGATGCGGTTGAGCAGTTGGTCTTGGTCTTGATCGACGAGGGTGGAGAGTTTGCCGAGGGAGAGTCGAGGGAGGGCGAATTTGGTTGTTGGGAGGCTGATGAGGGTGAATTTTGTTGGGAGAGTGATGAGGGTGGACTTTGTGAAAGTGAGTTTGGTAGGGAGGTTGAACTTGGGGAGATTGGTCGGGAGGTTGAGGTTGAGGTCGAGGGGGAATTTGGTGGGGAGGCTGAGGAGGGGTAGGTGGTTGGTGAGAGATGGTGGGAGAGAGGGGAGTTGAGAGGGGAGTTGAGAGGTCCACGTTTGGAGGGTTTGGAGGAGGTCGAAGTGTGCGACCATCTTGTTTGTTGGTGTGTTTGTTCGTTTAAGTTTGAAGGGCTTGGTTTCGAGAGTTCGTCGGCCCTGCTGTTGAGGTTGATCGAGGAGGGGTTGATAAAGATAAGGGCTCTTTTTTTTTGTTATTTTTTGCCCCCCCGAGTTATTCGGTCGTGGCGGTGAGTTTCTGGGTTGGATTCGACTCCTTCGACCTGCAGTATCCTGCAGTAGCAGCGCAGATGGTGTGTTTTGGGCTTGAGAGACTCCAACTTTCGACTCGCGATTCCGTCTGCCAACACCTTTTCGCAGCAACAAACACAATAAAACGTCCGTCTGACTCCCAAAAGACCAAAACAACCCAAAAGCCCAAATTCCCACCAATATTTTCGACTCTTTCGTCTTTCAAAACGTTGTGCTGCCCCGCAAGAGCCTCATCCAGTGGGCGACAGCATGCCAGCGTGGTGGCTGGGACTCAACACACCCCTGTGTCAAAACCCACATTCAAAATTCCCAATGCGGTGAAGCCTGAGGAGGTGGAGGAGAGCCACTGGCACACCGCCATTGCTGGCTGCAGTGAGACCGACCGAAACCAAACCATTTGAACAAAGAAGGGGTGGGATCGCAAAAATATTTGTACTCGGAAAGAAGTGAGGGGTTTGGGATGGGTGTAAAGGACACGCTGGAATGTTTGGTGTTTGGTAACAATGAGAGGTATCATTTAATTTTAGACGGAGGGCGTTTTTCGGAAGATCAATAAATTCACTTCCCTTTTTGGGGAGTTTTTCATAAAGCGTCTTGCAATTGCAGGAATGCGGCCCCGCACGCCAAACCAAAAAGGGATATTGAGCCAACACCGTTGCATTGGCTGTTGCATTGGCAGTGCCGTTACTGAGTTCCCGCCGTTGCAGTTGTCAAAATTGACAGCATGGCCGTTTATTTATGAGTTATTGATCGATGATTCTAGAATGGAGCGGGATAGGTTTTGAACCAGTGCTGGAGGAGTTGGCTTGAACTGATTCCTATTTTTGTTGCCGCTTTCATAAATGAACTAGTTATGCAGTCTAGCTCCTAATTACACGTGGACATAATATGCTGCAAATAATAGTTGATGAGTCGTGGAACACGATAGCCAAAATGTTCCTCTGCAAGGTTTCATGTGAGAACTAGGCTGTAATACGAGCGCGGGGCTAAATGCGCTAAATCCTAGACGACCTAACCAACTATTATATTTCAAAAATGAGAAGGAAACATGAAACAAAAGAAACGGACAAGACAAGTAAAAGTCAACGACCGTGACGCAGACGAAGAGGCAGCACTATTTGCAGCCCAGAATCACTATCCTCCCCGCTCTCCTCAGGCAACTGCTCACCACTGTCCTGAGTGACCTCCTGGAACTCTGAGTCCTCCTTTCCATCTAACTTGTCCTTTTCAACCTCCTCTTCCTTAACCTCCACCAGCTCACCACTGCCCTCCCAGCTCTTCTCAGCTAACTGCTCCTCGCCGTCCTCGGAGTCCTCCTTTGCATCCAACGGCTTGTCCTTGCCCTCCTCCTCCTCCTCATTCTTCTCCTCGTTTCCCTCCGATGGTTCCCCACGCTCCTCCTCCTCCACCGCCGAGCCCTCCTCCGCCGAGTCCTCCAGCGCCGACTCCTCCTCCAATTCCCCCTCCGAGTACTGCAACTCCCCCAGCCTGCCTAAATCTAACAACTCCGCCTTACTATCCAGCAAGTCCCACCGCAACGGACCCGAACTACCCGCCGGCTTGATCTTGTGATAAGCCTTCGGTAAGCGGCCGTAGAGGTTCATGTCTTCCCAAACTAGATGTGGATGGGTTGGGCCATGGAGGTGCTGCATCCTGTTGTCTGGGATCTCGTGTTAGTGACTTAGTGTCGTACCCCATGGTTTTGAAATGATCTAGTACAGTAGCTGGCGGGGTTATATCCCAACCTCCACATGAACAAAAAAAAGAGACTAAACAGCGATGAAGAAAAAAGAAAAGCCAAAAAAAAAAAAGAAAAACACTTACAAAACCCCCTCATCCCCCCCTGAAACCTCCCCACCACCTTCTTCATCCCCTCCCTCGCCCCATCCTCATCCCACTGTCCAGTCCGAAGCCACTGCTCCGTCCTGTGGTCCCTAACCTCCCTCATCGCCTCCATCGCCTTCCCCTCCAGCTCCTCCAATTTATCCCGCGCCGCCAAGGCGATCATCGCCTTCACCAGTTCGACGCAGTTGTGGCCCGGTAGCCGCAGCGGGCTCAGGGGCCGGCGAGGGGCGGCGGAGCCTAGGCGGTAGATTTCTTGCTCACGGGGGGTGAGCAGGGGGATGCCGTGGTGCGGTGGGGTGGGATGGTTGTCGGGGGGGTAGGACATGGTGGGTTGGTGTTTGGTTGTGGTGGTTAGGCTGAGTTGGGGTTTAGTGAGTTGAATAGTTAGGCAGGTAGGTCGTGTTGGATAGTAGTTAGGAAACTTTGAGCGGTGAGTTGGGTGAGAGAGTTGACAGGTTTAAGTCGGAGATGGTCGAGTCTTGAAATAGTCCGGTGGGGGAATGACGAAATTGTCCAGTGTCCAAGCACAAGGGCATAGACATCGCCAGTGCCATCAAAGCTTTATTCCGTGCGCCCCATATAGTGCCGATAACATGAGAATACACGTATGCCTTATAGTGACGCTTGTACAAGTAATTACTCCTTAGCCGGGGGCTCTTGATTACAGCTTAGTGTGCATCTTGAAAATATCATTGGAAGAGAAAGTCAACTTTGTTGATACCTTTGCGGATAACTTCATAGCAATAGCCGGGCCGTTGACAAACGTGGAAACGGCCTCCTTAGGACAGACCCTCTTGGACGGAGATTCTAGTTTCCTTTGATTTCAACCTTTTCAAGCACACTCGGACTCGAGGATGGTCTACTCCCTGTGAACTCCCCATAGGCCTGGAAGATAGCATGTGATTAAAGGGCATGATTATTCGTGACCAATGCGTATCAAACCCGCGGCCCGGAATCATACAAGTCGACGCACATCTCAACCCAGAGGGCAGGTCTCGGACGCCCGCCATGACCACATGTCGCAGGGTTGCTGGAGGTGTGTAACTTTGCGTCTTTGACTAACACAAAGCCATGCCATGATAATTACCGTGGATAGACCCTCAACGTACAGAATACGGGGCAAATTACGCCAACAAGAAGTTCGCTACTGTCAACTCCATGACCCTCTCCTCATGGCAAGGCTCTGGGTGACGAATGTGCGTTGGCCGGACATCCCACTTGTTCGTGGCTCGAGCAGTCGTTGAAATTATAGTGGGGCTAAATTCCGTCCAGCAACCGATCCTCGCGAAAAGTCTTCTCAGATTTAGGCGAATCACGTCAAGCCCTGCGGCATTAATCGGAAGCACATGCTGGCTACTACAAGTTAATATAGATATGCCAACGGTCGGCCGTCGGCCAAGGCACACCGGACTTTCCTCGAGGCGGTTCCGGGTAGTTAGTGTACGCTGCAGTTGGTTTCTGTCGTTGGGGCTTCTGGATAATTTCGAAGACACGGAACCCATGCAGTGAAACGCGACAGAGGACCGGCCGACCAACCGACCGACAGACCGACCGACCGGAGAGCAGGACAATTTGGGTATCGGTGAGCTCGGCCGACCCCCCCTGACGGTTGGACGACGTTTCTGCAAATAGCAAATGCGACTATCTAGGGCTGTGCATCATCTCGCACGGACAACGGGTGCGGCTGCGGTGCGACAAACCGCAGCGAAACGACAGCATTGGCGATCGGAAATTCCAGCTCGTGAAGCTCGTGCGTGGGGAGCGTGGGTCCTGTTTGATTTGACACAGAACGTGCTGTTGGGTCCATCCCAGTTGCATTATCTGCGGTCGAACCAACATCGATGAATTTGGCTGATAACCCGCGCAGCCGGCAAACATCGCTTCGCAAATTTGCCAAAACAAGGAGGAAGAAGAAGGATTGGAAAGGTCTCGAGGTTCACGCGAACACCAGCGGATGCTCCCCGCAAGCCAAGATGTCTTGCCTGCCCGGCCGGCTGCCCGGCTTGGTTAGAAGCTTCGTTCAGGCGGGGTAGCGTGGTATTTCCCGTCTGCTTGGGTTCGAGCTATGTGCGTGGGCTGGACCTTTTGGGGCAATTTAGCCCGTGCTAATTTGGTGACAGGCTAACTTCGTCGGAAGTGGTGGCGGCGGAGAAAGCAAGGACATGTGAAGGAATACACAACAATGCTCGGACCTTTGGATGCTTTCGCTTCTAGTTGTTCGAGTTAGCCGTTGAGAAGACCTGCGATACCCCGCGAAACGGGAGTTGAGGAGAGAGGAGTTCCCCACCACCACTACGGAGAGAGTGACCGACGTGGTTCCGGAGCCGGGGGAAAGTTCATTGGCGAGGTCGTTTTACTGTTGTACTTTGGGGTCGCTGCGATCGCCAGGCCGTTCGGGGCAGTCCCGTTCAAGAAGGAAAAAGTCGTCATTTCGATGCATGGCTAAAACGTGGGTCGTGGCCTACGCCTTTTGTGGCTGCAACGGCCATGCCGTTTCGAGGTTAGCATCCCGAAAGGGCATCTGGAAAAAAAGTGTCAAAATCAATGCCACCGCCGAAGGATGCCCGCGGCAGCAGAAACCTGAAAAGCGTGGCTTGCTTCGGGCCGTTTTTCTTTTTCTCTTTTCACGTCGTGCAGGTTTGGACAGCCAAACATCTCAAAGAAAGAGATGCGACACGATTTCTTTCCCTTTTCGCATTCTGATGTGATGGAAAAGGGCGCTTCGGAAAATACCAGGCGTGTGGACCGCAGCAGGCGGGCAATAGGCTCAACTCTAGATCCACTCCACAGAGCGGGCAACAAGGAGCCTGGAAGTCCATGCTGCGCTCATGCGTCAGCCCACTAGGGCGAGCGGGGTTCGAGCGCTTGCGGGCTTCATCAAGCTGCATTTTCAATTTCTCACCAACGAATGCGGAGGAACGGCAAAACGGCTCGGGAATTCCAGCCAGAGGGAACGCAAACGTACCTGCATTCGAGTGCGCGTCCACAAGGCGAGCAGGCGAATCGGAAAGGACGGGAGGAAGGCGGCTGCTTGATCAACGCTGGAAGTCAGACACACGCACAATTTTCGCTCTTTGCACATGGATGAGCCGAATGCGAAAAACACTGCAGAAAACGCGGGGCCCAGAGCTATCGAAATCCAGGACCCCACCCCACCATTTTCGATGGCCCCAGGCTGGGGCCCCAGCATGAGGGACCGGGTTGGCGTGCCGCCAAGCGACGGGGTACGGGTCGTGCGCACAGCACAAACAGGGGTTCGCGGGGGTTGACTCGAGCGCTCCCTGGCAATGCACAAGCTCCACGCCAAACAAGTCCTGTCTCATTGGTTCCGTGAGGCTGTCTTGCCGACTTGAGGAGTCGGGGGAAGTGACCAACGGCAGGCGCGAGGAGCAGCTCATAACGAGTTAGTCACGACTCGGGGGAACCTCTGGGATGGGTTGTGCCTTCCACTGCGAAGCAAGCCACCGAAGGAAGTCGTCTCACAAGTCAAGCCTTCCCGGCTCCGGCCGGCTGGCCGTTGAAAATGGATCATGTTCCTGCTTTCCATGTCTGGAAAGTTGCCTTCCATCCTCCCCCCTCCCGCGTTCCATCCGTCCGCCCATGTTTTCCCACCCTTCATACCCTGCCCTACAGTATTCGCCTTTTCGCCCCTCATCGCCACACGACAACTTCACGAATTGCCGTTTCTCGCCCTGTTGCGGCCTGCGCCTTCTTGTGGCTTTCTCGCACTCCTTTTTGTCTCACCCGGAATTAGACAGTCTCAGTCCGCGACGAGGCGAAAGCAATTGCATCCCCCACCGTGACAAGACCTTGGGACGTTTGCCAGGGACCTTTCCGCTTATTCGTGCTTGGCGTGGATTGCCGATCACCGCTTCGACTCGAGCAAACCGATCACCAACTCCCGACCCCGGACAGGCGCAAGATTGGGTGTGATCCGGACCGAGACGGCCACATAACCAATGCTTATGCCCACACTGTGGTACTCACGCAAACTGTAACTCGCCTTCAACGTTTCAACACGGATTTTAACCATGCGGTCCCATCGTCACCCGAGCCGTCCGGACATGGAGCCGGAGCCGTACATGCACATGGAAGACGAGATGGAAGATATAGCGTAAGCTTTGCCGCAGAAAGGAGATGAAGAAAGACGCTGGTCCATAAGTCTGGAGCTGACACAGCGTCTAGCGACCGATTCAACAGTTTAAGCTCAGGGGCATCGAGCTTTTCGCGTCACACAGCATCTGCATCATCAATTGACGAACGATATGACGGCCGACGAAGGGCACCGTCAGGCGGAATGCCTGCACCACGCGCCCCAGAATCACCGCGATACCTCGGCGGCCACGACGAGTTCCGCATGCCGCCCGCCTTTGACCACGTCCACTCCCGACCGAACACCGCGGGACCGGCACACCCGCCCGGCGCAGCACGAACGCCGCAGTTCCATCGCAAAGATTCCTACGCATCCGATCGACGTCCTTCCAGGAGTTCTGCCGGTGGCTACAGCCTATACCCTGCGGCACCACCGAAGCCGCCCCTCACGAAGCCTCTACCACCAATTCCGACAGTGACTCGCCAAGGCACACACCGGGTTTCATCTTCACAGCAATCCCTCGAAAACTCGGACGGGGTGTCTCCCGTCAGCTCCCGATATTCGCAATCGTCAAGAGGAAGTACATTGGAACGGGTGTCGTCGTGTGGCAGCGCCGCTTCGCCGCCGCCGCCGCCGATCGGGGGATACAATGAGTTCCGTGCGCCTCAACCGCCGCAACAGCCGGCAGCCCCCCCGCAGCTATTCCCGCAACCGTACCCGCAACCGCAGCCAACAATGCAACTGCAGCCGGGATCAGCGCCCGTTACATTGGTTCCCTGGAAACAACTCGTTGCAACCAATGACAAGCAGCTGAAAGAGCCCAGCGTTTTCTTCTTCGATATTTCCACGACATCGGCGACGCTTGCCAGCAAACATGGCAACAATATTATTCGCATCTGGTCTGTTGGCAGCGGGGAGGTGCAAAACACGCTCAAAATCTCCTGTTACACTAATGCACAACCGAGATCGCGGGAGTACTTTGTGCGCAGCCACGCGATCCTGTCCGAACCATCCAACCTCATCGCCATTGCCACGGGATTTGGCGATACTCTCGAGATATGGGACTGGGGGAAAAAGAAGAAGCTCCAGAGCATGGACAACGCCAATCGCTGGGCCGCGGTGCGCTCCAACGTGATGGAGGCCGGCTGGTGTCCGCTGGTCACCTACAACAGCAACTCGGACACCCTGGAACTCTACTCGGCCACGAAAAATCCGAAAAAGCCATTCAAAAAATCCCGATCCATCGACCTCCGCCAAGCGACCTCCCTTCCACTACTCCCAAAATTCCCAGAACTCGCCTTTTCCGCCACAGGACCCCTGCTCGTCACCGCCTCTGGGCCGCGACCACCACGGCCCGGTCATCCACCACCGGAACGCGAAACGCTTCTCACAGCATGGGAAATCCACGACGGCGCCCCGGCCTCCAACACCCCCTACAAAGCGGTTGCGCCCTGGCAGCATTCAGAGCTCGACACAGCTCTACCGTCGGGGCTGGCGACATACGGCTCGGTCGCAGTCTCCATCTGGATCCCAGCATCGTATCGCGCTGTGCCTATTTCTTCGATCACCGGTACAGCTCCGCCCAAAGGCGGCGGTGGCTTCAATCTGGCTCCCGTCCAAGTTTCCCACCGCTATGTGCTCGTCTGGGATTTCTCCGCTTCGTCCACCAAGACTTTCCGGATACCCAACGCCACCTCATGTGTATCGCCTGATTGCCGCTTCGTCGCGTATTGCGATGCCCGCGGTGTCGAGAGCGGTGCGCGAGGGTGTCTAGCCGTGCTGGACGCGATGACGGGGCGGGAGCTGTGGTGCTGGCCGGATCCCGACGCGGGCTTGCTGGATGCGGCGACGGATGAGTCGGGCGTGCAGGCCGCGCTTGCTGATCTGAGCCGTGTGACGGAGATGTGCTTCTCAGCCGATGGCGGGTTCTTGTTTGTTGGCGATGCGGATGGTGGGATTGCGGTGTTTACAGTTAGGGAATCGGGTGGGACGCCCGGAGGCGTGGAGTTGAAGTTCCGGGGTTATTAGGGTCGCGGAGACTCGGTATATATTATAAAATGTATCTTTCGTAATGTTTCTATGGGGTGATGCGATGAATCTGGATGGGCTGTCAGTTACAAAGGAGCTATATCATGTGGGGTACAATTCTTGTTATATACTGATCGTGGGGTTTATAGGTCAACGGGTCGGGATGGCAAAGATATCAGGGGTGGGTATCCGGGGTCTTGGGGGTGTTAAGGAATCCGGGTTTAGTCTATCAAGAAATCTTCAAATCTCCTCGAGAGGAGCCACCCCCGCGTCCTTGCTTTCCTAGAATCCCTTTCAAGTGTTTCACCGAAATCTGTAGGTCGGTCGAGTACGGCTGGCGTTGTTCACGTATACAAGGGACTTGCTGATGTAGTGAGCAAATGTTGGGAGTTTGGTCAAGAGAAGCAGCGTCCAATAATCGAGGTAAAAGGATGTACTGTGGCAGTTTGTAACGCCTTCTATTATTTGGCGATGTCTATCTAATGTCTATGTTATAGTCAAACTCTGTGCCCACTACCTCCTGCCCTGTCACTCTCCTCGTCAGCCAAAACTCGTATCTTGTCGTGACCTACCCTCTTCTTCTTCATGACTCCTCAACCGATCTAAGTCCATTCGACCTTTTAACAGATAGTTATCCTACTCACTCATAATTATACCATACCGACCAGGTACTAACTAACCCAAACCTGGTACTAATTCGACGACTACCATAACGATTCTAGAACCATGGTATTGTCGAACCAGGGTAAAGGATCGCTTTCGACGTGGGGTAGAACTCTCAAAGAAATAGAAGAAAAATAGTGAGAAAAGAAGAGGGAGGAAAAGAAAGGAATAGGAAACTAGTCAGCACTAAACAGCAGTAACACACGGGGTAAGTCAAAGAAAGGGGTAATTTGGGGAACAACAACGAAACAACCGACAAAAAGAGGTAAGCAAGCAAGTAATCAACGTTTCCAATAAACAAACCCAGAACCATCATCCCTCCATCTCCATAAACGAGCAGAACGGAGAACCAGGGCAGGAAGGCCGGTGTGCGCGGGCAGGGGCAGCCGCCTGCGCATGCAGATAAGAAGCAGCAGCAGCAGTAGCTGGCGTCTTTCGCTTTCTCGTATTAGCCCTGGGGGTTTTGCGTATGGCTGTGGTGGGGGGTGCGGCGGCTGCAGCGGTGGCTCTGTTTCTCTGTCGGGTTCTTAGACGGGGGGGACTCCATCTGCTGCTGCTGCTGCTGCTGATGTTGTTGTCGATGTGTCTGTTGGTGGTTGTGTTTGTGCTAGTGTCGGTGTCGGTGTCGGTGGTAGTGTCGGTGGTGGTGTCGTCGGTCGTGTGGTTGTTGGTGTCGGTGTCGGTGTCGGTGATGGCGATGGTGTTGGTGTTCGCATTGTTGCTGATCAGGCGGGTGTTGCTGCGCTCGACCCAGTTGGTGTCGACGTCGTTGTCGTCGTGGTCGACAACTGGGGTGAGTGAGTTATATTAGATATTTGCTTTGGAAGGAAGGGGATTATCTGGGACCCAAAACACACCTCTGTAGCCAAACGTTCTAACAATCTCATCGGCACTCAACAACCGCGCGTCTTCTCTCAGATGACATCTCATACTGACGAGGTTGAAGTGGCTGACCAGCCGGCTGAGGCCTTTCTGACCAGGCCCGGTTGCTGGTAGAAAGGGGTTCCTCTCGAAACGGTGAATCTCTTCCCGGCGGTCACATCGGACGACGAAATAACCTGGGCCAACACTTGGGTAGCGGAAGATAAAATCCATTCCCTCGACCTCGTCTTGGTTAATTCGTCGTATGTTGGTCTGGGGGGAGGGTTACAACACAAGAGGTTAGCGCTAACGTATCGTCATATGACTATCGGTGGAATGGTATAATTCAAGGACGAAAACCCAACGTACCAGAGCCGAAATGCCCTTCACATCTGACTCATGCTGGTATGCCGCGAGGTTGACACCGTACTTATTGACAAAGTACTTGAGGGAGTCCTGTGCCAGTTTCTGGGCAAGGCCATTTCGCGCGAATGCAGTGTATTGATGTAGCCGCCTCGACAGTTGCCCAGTTTCTCTGGCTTTGATGTCCGCCGAAATGCGGTACAGTGCCGTCTGGGTGTTGGATATGCACCTATCGATGGTCGATAGATGGCGATCACGGGCGTCGGTATAGCTCTTGTCAATCTCGTTAAGCCGGTACTCTTCCAGCATAAGATCTCGGGCATCGAGAGGTTCTGTTTGGTCCATGATTGGAAGAAACAGAAATGGATACAGTATACACAAAGTAGAACCGTAGACCGACTCTCAGATAGCGCGGCGTGTGAGAATGATGAGGTATACGAACACATTAAGGCGATTCTTACCCATAGCCGTTCACCACCAATTTATAGACCTCCCCTGACCCCCAACATCCCCCACAACTCAGAAATCTCTACAGCCAGGCACACCATGGTCCCACTCACAATTTCCTTCCGGGCTTCCCCGGGTTACGTATCTGTAGCCCACAGCTCCTTTATCTCTGTGTCTGCCTCGTAGACCAGGGCATACTACGCTATTTGATGACAGTGGTGTGGATGCTATGTAGGATCCTCGAGCCAACTGCATAAACTAAAACTCGGAGCGGCCGATAGAACGATTGAGAATGACGATGGTGGTAACGCCGCTTTCGACAGAAAATTATTCTGCCTTGGAAAAGCAAAGCGCAGTCACATTGGCATATGGCGTCTTACTCCGTATGACGGCCCTGTTTCCAATCGAACTGAAACGTCTGCTTCGCAAACCTGCGAAATGCACGGGAGTTCAGGTTCAATATTTTGGCACTGAACTAATAACCAAAGCTACACTGTGGCGGCGCGATCGATGGTACGTTAAGAAGTGAAGCCAGGCGTCTCGCTCAGCAGGTTGTCGGCGGCGGCGGCGGGCGTCGGCGGGGCCGAGCCAACCAACCAACCGGAGAGCGGTTCTGTTTACCCGGCTGAGGGTGACAGTAGTACTTCGTGCTTCCTCTTTAATCCTTGGACTACATACATAGTAACCGCTTTGATCACCACAGCTGGTCAGCTTTCGCCCCAGCGGGTCAGCTTTCGCCCCAGCTGGTCAGCTTTCGCCCCAGCTGGTCAGCTTTCACCACAGCTAGTCAGCTTTGCAAAACGTGAATCGTCACGCAATGAAAGCCTCGTTCAAAAGCACTGGATGGGGACGAAGCCATTTGCCGCCTAGCTTCAGCACTCCCAAGATCACTGACTCCCATGACCATTATTGACCCGGTCCCCTAAGTTTGCACTCTCCTCTCTGGCTAACTACGCGTAGGGAA